AAAGGAAGGGGCTGCGAGGTAGATTGGTGGTGGTATATATATATAAAATTTACATGTCAAAAATAAATATGTATAAAAATAAACCTATTTACAGCTATCATAACATTTGAACTGTCAATGCATTAATGTCATTTAAATTTACAACAAAGATACTTCAATGAATACATAAAAACCTAAAGGTTTGGTTAAAACACTGGGAAAATAGCAAATTTAGCCTGGCATTAGCTGGAAATTCTATTGTAAAATTGATAAAGAAAAAGGCACATATTGATGAATAAAAAATTACCAGAGTGCAAGAAATAAGGTGTCTGACGCAATATGTCCTGGGGGAGATCCCTGCTTAACACATGCCTCTACAAACTGTTGGAAACCTCCGGCCCTTGCTGAGCTCCCTCTGAGCCTCCATGACTGCTGGATGCTTCCAGCGGGACTCCGCCCATCCGACTGTACTCTGATTTTTTTTTCTACGCAAAAAGGGGCGGAATATGTGGACGTAGAAGGAGCTGACCCGGTGGCAGTCACACTGACAGTCCCGTACCGGCTACCGGACGGTGTTTGACAGCCGAGTATCCCACCTGAGCTTGTGTTAGTTTGTACTTATGTGAGAAACATGTTTACGTTGATAAGTTTGCTCCATCGACACTCGGGCGCAGATGCACAGCCGCGTTCGTGTTTAGCTAACATTTAGCTAGCTCCGAGTGTTCAGTCGGCGACAGACTGGTTAATTTAATTCACGACAACTCGCGTCAGACTACCGCTGAGTGGCGGTGACCGGCAACGACGATGAGAATGGCGTTTCTGCGACACATCCGCCGGTTCCCGTGGGTCACCAACGTCACCCTGTACGGTTGCCTGTTCGCCGGCGGAGACTTCGTCCATCAGTGGTTCTCGCGCAAGGAGAAGATGGACTGGAGCCACACGCGCAACGTCGCCGTGGTCGCGTTCAGTTTCCATGGCAACTTTAACTTCTTCTGGATGCGCTTCCTGGAGCGGCGCTTTCCCGGTAACTCCGTCCGGATGGTGGCGAGGAAGCTGCTGCTGGACCAGACCACGGCGGCGCCCCTGGCCACCACCGTCTTCTACACAGGTTGGTGGGTCATAGGGGTTACCGGAACCGGGGCCGTTAACGGTCAACCTCCGGTCACGTACAGTAGCTGTCAGCCCGTGACCTGATCCCGGTCCTCTCTGTGAGCTACTCATTGTCATGTAAAGATCAGCAGTCAATCGGTGAAAACAACCTTTGATTAGCAGAGGTCATGTGAAAGACATCATGGAGTAGATTCCCACCTTATCAGAATATTTTATGTTCTTAAAACGTTCTAGGAAAGTTCTACTAATGTTTTGAATGTTCTCTTTGTGCCTAACATCTTAAGGTAATCTACCTTATGTTTACCTATGACAATACAGGAACATTTTTTTTAACAGACATTCTGTCACCGGTGGATTCGAAAACATATTGAAAACATTTTTTGAGTGTTGGGGAGGGACGGATAGACAACCCCGTGTTATCATGTGACACTGTGCAACATTGTGGTAATTTGTTTTAAAAGAACGTTCTATAATGTGTGACTTCAGCAACATCCTCAGAATATTGCAGACAAAGTGTCTTACATTTTGTTAACATGGAGCATTTTATAAAAGACGTTCTGTTATTATCAGTGGATTCGAAAAACGTTTTTTGAATGTTGATTTGAAAACATTAATTCTTTGCTATAGATCATTATCTGTGGCCCTGACAACATTCTACAAACATCCTCTTAATGTTGCAGTTTATCTCTTAGTTCAGTTCCAAACTTATCCTTAAAACATTCTTTGAACATTAGAGCAAAACGTTTTCTTTTAAACATTGCTAGAACCTGTAGACAATGTTCCTATCTAACCTCTGTGACAAAGAAATGTTGACCAAAGTTCAAAATAGCCCAGGAGAAGCAATGCTGGTGTATTTTACGGGAAGTTAGGGGAGTTCATCTACATCCAAAGCTAATTTATGATTTCAGTTCTTAAAATTCTGTCTAGTGTGGTGACACTACACAGCCATCTATGGTGCAATAATGTGTTTTCATTGTTACTTGGTTTCCCATTTCCATATTTCGGCGGTTACTTTAAGAGAGGTCACAGTCTGTGATGCAGCCATACGTAAAACACTGTCACCAATGCAAATATCCCACATAAAAAACACCTGATATAACAGAAAAATATTTTGATTTCAATTAACAAATCAGACTTTTACTGTAAATAATATCCAGCTGTGGTGGAGTTCAGAACTTAGCTGCCGTACCATTGATTGAACTGCAGCTGATAAACTGTGATTCTGTGTGTGACAGCTTACCTGTTTGATTAAAAGTAAACTGTGTCATTTATCATTAGATTCTGTTTGATCTTGTCTCCATGTTTGGGGACAATTTATAACTAGAAGTAATTAATGAAGTATTTGCTGTTTGCATAAATGCGCACACCTCTCTGGCATTAGAGTTACACATTTGCAGCAGGATTGCTGCTGTCTGATGCTGCAGGTAAGTCAGGGGAAAGACTCATACTGGAAGCAAGACATTAAACTTCAGCTCCATCATCTAAAGGCATCAACTGTGTCTCTTGTGCTCTCTGAGATGTTAATGGACAGGATCCACAGCTGACTGGCTGTTACAGCCATTATAGCCATCAATGCTGCTTTCACTTTTGCTCAGTACCAGAGTTGCATTTACTAAAACTTGGCCATTGGAGATTCAGTAAAGGAACTTGACCATTTGGTCTGTGGTGGCTGAGGAGATGCTTGTATGGATTCTGCTGCTGTGTGATTCTGCAGGTGTTTAATAAATTCAGAGGAAAAACTCTTACAAACAACTGGAAGCACCAAACTAAACTTTAGCTCTTGTTGACATTTCGAGGTTTGTGTCTGCCTTCGTCAACTAAACCTACTTGCCCTCTATATGACTTTTGTGTAATGTAAAGATTGTCCTGTGTAACAAACCTTGACTTGTAGAGCTAACATGAAAAAAAATATGGAGCAGGCTGATTCTCCAAGTAGATGTTGTCCTTTAATGAGGGGTTCTTCACAATGGCTTATCCTCGGCTAAAAATGAAGCTTACAATTGCAAAGAGTGCAACTTAACTACACTAATACTATAATCCTCACAGCACCAGAATCTGAATTACACAAGGCTCCCAGTGCTGTTGAGGACTATTGTCTTAAGATGAACCCTGTAGAGTAAATTTGTATTTCCAGAGGGGAAGTCAGGAAGCATGCCGATTACAAATTTGACAACACTACTCCCAAAGCTGAGGATTATATGTATCTGAGTAAAGTATTTAATTACAATAATCGGTTTAAGCAGGGATTAAAAGAAGCAGGTAGACCGAGTCAGAAAGCTGCTTTACAGTATCTTAACTAAAGCTAGGGATTTAGGGCTATCCATTGAAACACAATTAGAGCTAATAAATCGTGTAATATCACCTAAAGACAGGTGACAAATGTAAAGTGTCTAATTGCACTTTGACACTGATTCTCCAAAGCTCTTGAACTCTACTGGAAACATATTCCCTCATTTAGTTTTTTTTAAATGATGATGGTGAACCAAAATGTCCCATAGGTGCTTAACTGGATTGAGATCTGATGACTTTGAAAGCTGTAGCTTATGATTCATACTATTTTCATTCTAAATGCACTAGTGGATGGGTGCATTCCTATTTCAGGGGTCAAGAGTTCCAGTTTTTCGATTAGTTTGTCACATAACTATGTATTACTGCTCAGGTCTGACGTCTTGACAGTATTTTCTACAGTAATGTTTTTTTAAAAAAACAAAACAAAACTGTAAACTAATGAAAAGTGTTGAAAGTAGAAACAGTGTTTTTTTTGTTGCACAGGTTAATTGTAAAAAGATACAAATGTAGCTTTATTTTCGATTGTTTTGGTTATATGACCAAATTGAGTCCCAGTGGTTGGTAATAGTTGGCGGTAAAAATGCTTTTTAAAATTTTTATTTTTTCGGGGAAATAGTGAACCAATAAATGTTAGATTGACTCGAGCAGTTATTAAGGATGCAGAGAAAAGGAATTAGAATACTAACTGTGCCTCTATGTGACTCAAGTCAGATGTGGAGGTAGGAGAATCCCTGTGGTTTCTTGTAGATACTACTGTATGCATTCCTGATTATAATAGGTTGAGAGAAGATGTGCATAAGCTAAGCATTTTATTTAACTATGAAGACGATAGAACCCTGAGATTCCTCGCTATATTTAGTATATTTTGTAAAAGGCTACTTATTTATGTCTGAAATGTATCTGTTTTTTCATCCCATGAGAAGATGACTGAAAAATCTAGACAGGAGAAGAAGTGGAGTTAACTTGGAGTTACTTTGTCAGTATAATCAGTAGCTTAAGCTGAAAGGATTTGAATGACAAATGGTAATGTATGCCTCTCAAGAGCTTCTAATAGCGTTTAATGCTCCCTTTTAGGTTTCTGCTTTATTCCATGAGAAGAAAATATTTCTAGTAACACGTGGGTCATCATTTAAAATATCAAACAAATACAAACAGGCATTATAGTAATTTAATCTGCGTTCATTCTGTGCATTCTTTCATGTGTTTTCCAAGACAATGTGACATATTGGTTTTCATAGTGATTATGTTTATGCTGCCAATCTTGTGTTAGTGGTTTCTTCAGTGTTCTTTTATAAACCACCCATCAGTCAAATCCTCTCTGTCATGCAGGCGTCAGTTTCTTGGAGGGCAAAGAGGACATCATGGAGGACTGGAGAGAAAAATTCCTGAATACATATAAGGTGGGTCAGAGCAAAGCAAACTGCTCCTATCTTCAGGCGCTGTGATGTGTTGTGGCAGCTCAAATTCACTACATTTAAACAGAAGAGAAGCTGTGGTTTGCGCTCACATCCAAAGCTGATGCGTTTGAAGACAGCACTGCACATTGGATTTACCAAAATGGTTCATTTATCATGTGTTACTTAGATTTTGAAGATCTCTGCTGACGACTCCCCTGATGAAGCTCTCAGTTTTACTACGTCACATGCTTCTCAGTCTTTGAAGTGTATTCTGATAGTCTACAGCTAATGTTCCTTCTTTTTGTCTCTCTTTTCAGACGGGGCTAATGTTCTGGCCGTTCATGCAGGTAAATATTTACAGCGTCTGTGCTTGAACGTTCACTCCTGATCAAAGGTCCACAGTAATTATTCAGTGCTTTCAACTGCATCTTAGAGTCTCACGCAGTCGTAGATGTTTCACAATTTACATTTTTCATTTTGTCCCATACTTGCTTCCTGTCTGCTCTTTGCAAACACTGCCTGCAGTTCAGCTAAAAAGTCCCTGAATTTTTGTTTTGTGTTTGTTGTTACAGCTGAGTCACTAATGCCTTCCAATTGTGTTTAGAAGCGCAGAATATTTTTGTTTTTTACAGAATCTGGCCCGATCAAATGGTTAACTTATGGCACATTTTTAAATGTAACCTGTAGAATTTTTTTTTAAAAAACTGAATTTTAAGATTAAGTTTTCTGACGGTTCAAGGACTGTCAGACATTAAAGATCTGATGATTCTTTTTGTTTTTACAGCTGCTTTCTTTAACAAATGGTGTAAGTTAGGCAACTATTTAAAGATAACATGCCTTTCAAATCTGGGCTTTGGGGTTCCGAGGGTTAAAATGTAACTACACTGATAATATGAATACTGTATTTGCTATCTGTCCCTCAGTTTCTGAACTTTGCCTTGGTGCCTCTGTATGTGCGGACCACCTTCACCGGCTGCTGTGCCTTCGTCTGGGCAACCTTCTTGTGCTTCTCACGTCAGAGCGGCGATGGCACAGCTGCTGCTGCTCTGGCGTGGCTGTTCCCCGCTAAAGAGGAGGAAGCTGAATCCACAGAAGAGAAAGTGGACTCTAAAGAAAAGGTAGATGCCTCCAAACAGGGAACAGCAGCATCTAAACCTACACAGTAACAGAGTCAGGACACAGAGGGAGACGAAACATGAATCAAAACTGGTCCAAACCAGGATACAGCTGCTGCAGCGGTTCAGTCTGGTTCTTTCTAGCTCAGTGGTTGATGTTACACTAACACTGCCAGGGTCTTAGATTGAAGATTCACAGAGGTAAGACAGAAAATGATGCTGCAAGGTGCTGTGGGAAACAGCCTCCGGCAAATGGAATGTATGTGCAGCATATTTTTAAATATTAATCCAATATAGCAGCTCAGTGGAAAAACATTTTTCTGCTCCGCCCTTCCATAGCACAGTGACGTATCTCCATGCTCCGTTTCTCATCAGGTTTTAGTTTTTCTTTCTTTTTGTAAATGCAACCTTGTGTTCTCACATTTACAAGAAAAGTGAGGCTTGGCAATATTAAATACTGGAATGATTTACGAGGACCTCTGCAGTGTGTCTGCGACAGAACTCTAAAGGTGTAGGGATCATTTCCACTGTGTGGAGTGGCAGCTAATTTATGGGCTTAGACTTTTATTCTAATGAAAACTACAAACGTTTAAATATCATTCTCTTTTTATTAGCACGAATGCTTTATTGACGGCAGTAGATTGGGACTGCTGTCTAAGGACTCTCTGCTTTGGCTCCAGTTTACACTCTGGTACATGAAATACCACATTCGGACGCACACAGCTACCGATAATTTATTATATGATAACGTGACTATGTTTTATGAATGTCTATGAAGGTACTTGGTCTTTGTGGCAAACAGTGCAACTTTTAAGCACAAAAAAATACAATAATAAAAAATTATTCTGAAAATGCATTTTTAATCTCCACAATTTGAACCACTGCAGTAATTAGATGACACCCATGATTACTTGGAGCTTTTCTAGTAATAATTGATGACGTTTGTCTCAAACATCCGTCTACTTGAATCTTGAAATGCTGCCTGCCTGTTGTTGTACTTGATGTTAATGTTATACTGTTGTTTCTTTTTGCACCACTTTATAATTTTTCCAGCCTGCTGTTCTAACCCTTTCTGTAAATGTTAGTTTATAGGTGTTCCTGCCTGCATTGATTCTTAAGCAGTAACATCAGATGTCTTTGCCAGGCAGCAGACAGTTTTATAAATAGAGTGCAGCTCAGCACAAGAGCTGTCCTTTATTCCTATATATAGAATATAAAGAAAGATTTGGGGCAAACTTGTCTTTTCTGTCTCAGGTCAATAAACAACCTTGTGCTTTTACTTGTGCTTCCATGTAAAGCAGAAATTCCCCAGTGTCAAAGAGATCCGTGTCTGTTTGTCTGATATGGTTGAGTTTAAATTATAGTTTGTAATTATGCATCCTGAAGTAGCTACAGTAATCTGCTAGTGTTTGATTATAGAGTTTGACGTGTCTCACCAAACTAAATTATTACTGTGAATAACATATTAATATATAAAGCAGTGAGATGTTTTATGAGGAATCTTTTGAGTTGTATCCTTAGATACAGTTATGTCATTTCAGTGTTTTTGTTCTTCATTTGCTGATGTGCTACACTGGAACCGAAATGTCAGATCAGTGAATATTCCCTTTGTGCATATCTTCTTGGTCATATTACCAACTCAAACATTGGTATGTTGTTTTAGCTCAGTATGAAATTTCTAATTTATTTTTAAAGATCAAAAAGAACAGATCGCCTTTGTTGACTTCAAAAACTGATTTGATTGTGCTGAATTTTTTGAATTAGTTGCACTAACTATGGTTTTGCTGAATAAAAGGAAAACATCCTGTTCGTTTGTCGTGTGAATGTTTACTGAGTTAACCCCGAGTTACAGCAACACAATGGAAACATGTTGTGATTGAGCTGACACTTGTACCTAGAGCGCTCTAATGTACAAACAAACCCAGTTTCTGATCTGAGGTGTCACTTGTGTTATGTTTGCTATCAGAGATGCATTTTGTGTCTGTGTTGCATCAGACTGAAATTTTCTTCACTTCTTATATGCATTACTTAGCATTTAGATGCAACCGCGCCTCAGTCTCCATCACCTCTGGGAATGTATTGAGCACATTGTGTACTTTGAAAAAGGCTGCCTGCTGCATATTTAAATTCTGCAGCCCTTGTTTTGCTCTGTGTTCTCACTCAAAACATATAAAAATAAAATAAAATAAAAACATTCAAGGAGACAGGAAATCGTATTACAAATGTTTACAGATACCAGATAATCACTTCTATAACAAATGAATCTATGTAAAATTAAAGAACCAATGCTTCTATTTCTGTCAATTTTTACTAATAGTATCTAATTTGAGAAACATATTTAATTCAGTTTCATCTGTTATATAAAAAGGAAATATTTGTGGCATTGCGGTGACACATTTGCAAGTGTGTTTCAACAGTTTTTAATGTCCAAAAATTCCAAATTTAAATGAAAATGTTGGTTATTTACAGTTACAGGTTTTTAATGTTATTTTACATTAGACCTGTAAATTTACAGTCTTTTTTTGTAATTTCATTGGTATTTTTTTAATGTATTTTAGAAATACGGGGAAAAAATCTGGAAAATACAAAAATTACCGTAAAATTACACATTGTTTTTGTGAACACTAATAAAAAATTTAACAGTTTTATCCTATTTTAATTGCATTTTTTAAAGAATTTATAGTGATTTCACAGATTTTCCCTATCTTGTTAATTTACAGACAATAATTAGCAATATCAAAAAACAAAACAGGCAAACCAACGCTGTATATAATGTTCACAATCAGTATTTTTACAAATGGTAATTAGTTTTTTGTTCTTTACCAGGTTTGACTGGAAAATTATATTACCTTGCTGTATTTACACTAAAACTTTTTTTTTTTTTTTTACAGATGTTTTAGTTATTTTTAATAAATTTTTACATTTTTTGAATGCTACATTTTTTTGTAGAATTTTTTCTGGCACCCTTGCAGTCAGATTTTTACTTTAAAAAAATAAATTATCAGTGTGGACTATTGAAGGTTGAGACACATATTAATAAACAACAAATAAACAACACCAGCAGTTACTTAGCCTTTGACTGCTGTATCAGCAGCCAGATAACAGCCAGAGTTAGTAAAATGCTTCATGATTTCCCTGAATATAAATAATCATAAACACAGAGAACTTTGGTATGTTTAGATTTCCTAAAAATACATTCTAGGACAGGCAAAAATAAATATTTAAATAAATAAATAAATAAAAACTTCCTTGCAACTGAGCCCCTATTGTTTTATTTTTACCGTCTTCTCGGTGCCAGTGGGTGTCTCCCAAGCGCTCACATCCCTGCCCACACTGCGCATGCTCCCTGCAGCCTCTCCTCACCATACACACGTCAAAGGGACTTGAAAGCTTGAATGAAGATGCTCAGCGTCTCGGGTCGCCGGAGCCTTGTCACCGGGTGAAAGCGAGTCCTCCGGAGGGACGCACGCAGCGGGAACGTGCAGCTTCAGCGGAACAACAGCCTCGTTTCTGGGTTTGGAGCGCGCTGGCACCGACATGGAGCTGAAGAAATCTATTTCGGACACCGAACGCGCGCTCAGGAGCTACGGAGCCGTGTCGGAAACGGCGTGGACGACGGACAAAGGTGAGCCTGCAAATGTGATGAGACGTATCTAGTTATGGCTGCAGTGTGTTTTTCTTAGAATAATGTTTGACTCCCAGGAGACCCAGCCAGCAGTGAAATGGTTAATCTGTGACTCACAAAAGGTTCGAGATGTATCAATAGCGCTGCCTCGGTGCTAAAAGGCCTATTACTTCCCCTGTGTGCACACCAGGGCATTACTCTGCCTGTGAATGAATCTAAGCCAAGAAATATTCCTCCTGCACAGCGCATTTTCAAAACTTGTGGTCATTTGTGCAGCCTGAGCTCATCAGCCTGCAGCAGGAGCTTTGACTCATCTCTGCTCTAATCAGCACTTATATAGGAAATCCATTGCAGATGGGAACATTCAAGCGTTCATGTCAGAATTACTGGCAGGTTTAGGGACAGTTTTTCCTAAATAGCCATTTTTATTGATTATTCACGGGGATAATTTCACATTGTGCTGGTATGAGCGCAATAATTAGAGTTTCTACACGATAATAGCAGCTTGAATTGACTCAGTATCACAACAGCACAAACTTCAGCCTCAGAAAGGATAATAAAGACTCTGAAAATGAATATTACAGGCTGCAGAAAACATTCAATTCAATGTTTGGATTATTTTTTCTCCCAAAATCTATTTGATTTGATTTGTCCTGTGTCAGACTGCAAGTGAGAGCTATTTTCTTGCAACGGAATTATCATTTAGTCTATCAAAGGTTGAAATAGCCCAGAGTTTCATTTCATAGTTTCATTAGCCAATGGTTAAAAATATATACAAAATAAAGTGATATAAAACCAAGAAAAGCAGTTTACCTAACACTGGAAAACCTGGAAAGGCACAATGTTTGTTTGGCTTCTTCTTCTTTTTTTTTTTTTGATAAATAGCATTAACTAAAACCGCAAAAATGATATGAAATCTGCAGAAGCTGATTTATAAAATCCTAAGATTTTATAAATCAATATTGTAAGCTGCAGAAATCAGTCAATTTTATATTTCCATTATTTTGTCTTGCATCTATTTTATTTATGTATTTATTTTTTAAATTCAGGACTTCAAGCTGATTGATCATTTGGTCTGTAAAAGTTTGAAATATCCCAGAGCCCTGTCTTTAAATTGATGTTTTTTGTTGTTGTTGTTTTTTTTTTTTTTTTAATCAGTAGTTGAAAATATATTCACATCAATGTGATATAAAACCAAGAAAACTAATCAATCCTCATTTTAAAAAATATGAAATAATACAATTGGCATTTTGCTTTTTTTTCTTGACAAATGACACTAACTGACAATTTTCTGTCACTTGACTGTTAGAATTTAGTTCTAAACAATATGACAAACTGCAGCCTGCTATTTAGGTCTGCAAGTCACAGTTATTTTCTTGCAATTGAATTATCATTCCCTCTATAAAAAGCTGAAATAGCCCAGATCCCTGTCTTTTTAAGTATTTTTTGTTTGTTTGTTTTAACCAATAGTTTAAGATTCTAACTCATCTTTACACTGGAAAACCTGAAATAATACAAATGCTGTTTATTTGGCATTTTTGCTTGATAAATGACAATAAGTGACTATACATTTTTTGTCACTCGACTATTAGAATTCAGCTCTAAACAGCCTCAAAACTGACCATAAAGCAGCACAAATAGTTTGTTTACATTGTTTTGCATGTTTCTATTATTTTCTCTTATTCTCAAATCCTGGGCGATGACGAGTGATGAATGACGCATGTGTTGACAGAAGCGACGGAGAGATAACAGATGTGATTTCAAATGTGTCCCATTTAGTTCCACAGAGGATGATTTATCACTGAAGGGAGGAAGGTGTGAAGAAACTTCCAGATTAAGCCTGAGAAGAAGAGGAAGAAAAAAAATGCAGTGGATATTTTTAAACATAGATTCAGTCATTGCTCTCTCGCTCTCTTTTTCTGTCTCCCACAAACACACAGAGAAAACAAGGCTGAGGTAAAGTAGAGCCAACACCCTGCAGGCTTATGCCCTATTATTTTTATAGCAAAGCCAAATACTGCAAGTGTTTGCATTGCACTTTCTATTTTGTGCTGCTTTGTTTCTTCATAGAGGGAGGCGTGGTACAGCAGCAGCAGCACTGTGTTACAGTGTGACTGCAGGGTGTCTGTATTGGATGTCATACAGATGCTGACATTTCCCTGTTGTCAAGCCCCATGTGGTGGCTGCATCGTGCACTCTCCAACCCTCATCAAGTCATATTCCTGAAGTGCACCAATGAGCCGGTTTGTTTGAATGAAACTGGGGTTAATTCAAGTTTACTAATTATGCGTGTGATAAGACTGGCAATGTGAGGAGCAGAGCAGGCCTCAGACTTTGCAGTTAACCTTACCTGTCCCTGGTGAACAAGATGCTTTTAATTAGGAAGTATCCAAGCTCTTTATTCCTTGTTATGTTTTTAATGCTGGGTACGTGTGAGCAGCTCGCTGAGATGAGAAAAAGCTGTAAGGACATTACTGAGTTGGCACTTTGCCACTTGTAATAGTCCAGTCGGAACTCAGTGCAGCTCGGTGTTATTGATGAAGAGCACGTGGCTGTGAGTGCAGAGAGAAAAACAAGAAACAGATAAAACCAACATAAGGGAGAGAAAAAACGATTTCTTGAACTTTAGCTCGTGCTGCCGTTTAATGATATGAACTTTGATTTAGCGTCCGTGTAAGTATATTGTCAGCAGATACGTTGGGCGATGATTCAACGTCAGCGAGGCACAAACAAACAAACTGAGCCCTCCTGTGCAGACTTCTGTCTGCTGTGGTGAGTCAGCGTCGTCCTCAGCGAGCGTCCATGAAAAGTACCACAGACGCAGACTGCAGCTTGTGTTGCTGCAGAAGGATGAAGAGCTCATTCAGCTGGTCCTCTGATGTTACAGAGTACTCTGTGGATAAATGTCGTGAGAGCTCAGGATTAAAGATGCAAATAGTTTGTTTGCTCAGGTGTGTGTAGTTGTGTCCTGTTCAGAGCCAGGATGAATAGGAGCAATGATTACAGACACTAATAACTCTTTAATGTCCATATGGATGAGTGTGTGTTTGCACTGATCAGCCACAACATGAAACCCACTAGCATGTTATTGCGTAGGTCTCTCATTGTGCTGCCAAAACAGCTCTGACTTATCAGGGAATGGACACAGGGTGCTGGGGAGGGCTGTTGGCATGGAGGGAGGGGGTACTTGGTGTGCAACAACGGTTAGATGAGTGATACAAATAAGTAGCATCCAGACCAATGCAAGGATCCAACATTTTCAAGAAGAACATTACATATATGTTACATTATAATAAGATTTTCAGTTATTCACTTTACCTGTCAGCAGTTTCAGTGTCGGGGCAGATTGGTGTATACTGAAAGATACTGTACAGTACAGATTGGGAAATTTAAAGTGTCCTTTAAGTCATTTTTGTGCAAAAATCTCTCATTCCACTCCCTGAAATGAGAATATTTGCTGGATTCTCAGTTGTCTGTGATTATAAAGGGAATTTCTTAGTGTTCAGATTGTATAGGATGAAACATGACATTTAAAGACATTACCTGTGATCCTGGGGTATTTCAATGGTTGTTTTCACTCTTTTCCAACAAAACAATAAGCAGTAATCTCCGGAGGTATGCAGTGCCCAAAAAATATTCACCCCATTGGAAGTCTTCCCTCTTTTTTTTGCTTTTCAGTGTGGAATAATGGTCAATAAAAAATTTTTAAAAATTTAAAAAAAGAGACAAGAATTTACAAAAAAATAAGTTTCTTTCATGTCAAGTGAAAACTGATTTCTATGAAGAAAGGCCAATCATTAAAAATATAAAATGAAAATATATTGTTGCATTCACTTTCTTTAAAGTGACTCACCTAATCCAACACTGGTGCAGCCAATCGGTGCCAGAAGTTACACAATTAGTGACAGGGAGCTCATCTGAGTGCAGTAAATGTGTCTCAAGTGATGGCAGTATAAAGTCAGCTGTATCTGTAAGGTCCAGTCACTGGTGAGTCAGTACTCCTGGATATAACTACACCATGAAGACAAGACTCAAAGCAGCTCTGTAAAAACTTTGTTGAAAAACACAAGTCAAGAGATGGATACAAGAAAATTTGCAAGTATAAGAAAAAGTACAAGTACAGAAAATGTAGTTATGAATTATTGCCCACTGTGAGAGAAAGATTTTTTTTAAAAGGTCAAACTCAAAGCAACAGAGGCAGAAACAGTCTGACTCTTAGCCTTTAATGTGAGTCATGCACCAAAAAGCCAGGATCCTGCACATCCCATAATGCAACTAGACAGTTACTTTCATTAGACTTCCTTCCTTGTCTGGTAAATGCAAATTTCTGTCTTTTAAAGTCCACACACTCAGTTCGTTACACAGGCTTTCTGTTCGGAGACGTAAACCTGGACGTCACTGCACTGAACACTTAACTCGAACGGTTCCACACTAATGGAACATGTTTTTATTGGCTGATCAGGATCTATTGTCGTCGGCTGTCCGCATAGCTGTTGCAGCAGGTGCCGCAGCACTTGCAGTGGTCAGTGCATTGATCAGTGTAACAAGTGGTCGGTCAGTGTAGTGAGTGTTTCGTGGCTGCAGTCAGAAGTGAGATTAATGGTAATTTCTTCGTCACCACAATGACAACAACAGCATTCTCCCACTGAAAAATGGTGCCTGTTATACAGTCCTGGGAAACTGTCAATAAAATGACACCTTATATTCTTTCCTAAACAATTTTCTGTGGCAGAGATGCAAAACATCATGAACAATGTGAAGTAGAATTCATAAGAATATTGGAAACCATGGTGTTAAGTAAATCCAACTCTACTTACACTTGTTGACATGGGTTCACTGTGGCTGGTGCAACACTTTGAAGACTTTTGCTGCAAGGAACTGTGCAACGGCGTTATCTTCTTGCTTTCTGAAAAGGCTGGACCAGTAGGTCCTGCATGCTAAAAGAGATAAGAGAAAACCCTGAAGCATCCTTTTGGTTGTGGTTGAATGGCCTTTTGTTTTTTCGCTAAGGAAGGATCATATTTAGAGCCTGCCTGATTCTGGATTTCTTAGGCTGATGCAGATACCAATTTTTAAAGAGTACGAAATTCCAAAATTAATATATAGTCCGAAAAATGTATATATAATGTAATATTAAGAAATTCTCTATTTATTATTTGTTAACTCGCAACAGCAATGCATTTCACAAACTGGTTAGCAGCATACTGTGAAGACACCATGTGACTCCGCACCACCATCTGCTGTGATTCAAACTCTCCTACATGTGCTACAAACAAGTCAGAACGCCCTCTGCTGTAGAAACTGTGTGATGACACCATTTTAAAATTACGGCAAGCATCTTTTTCTGCATTATGTTACAGAAAAAAAAGATGGTTTTCATGTCAGCCCATATTGGACCACATTTTGCCAATATATGTGTGACTATATGTGATGATATCAGCCAAACAATGTATTGGTCTCTTCCAAGTAGCAGTCAGTCAGATAAGAGCTGGTTGAATTCTCTGAATGCTAGAGGAAGGTATTCCAAAGTGGAAACACGTTACCACCTTTACAAAAAGAAAGGAGATAATGTTGACCCACAACTCCTTGCAGCAGCAACATTGAACGGCAAACCAATCAACATCTGCTGTCACATGATTATGTTGTTGAGTGTAAACGGAGTCTCTTTGCACCACACTTGTCTTTTTCTACATCCTCATGCATTCTCCTTCACATCTTTACTTAACCCCATGACGTTTCCCATCAAGTGTTGAGGAAAGACCTTCATTAACATTTAGGAAATTCACGAAGTTCTTTTCATGACTGCCACTTAGATTTTTCTGACACATTTCACTCAGTTGGGAACCTTCTTTGGCTTAAAAGACCATTCAACCGAAACCCTGGTTTACTGTCTCATCTGCGGTTGGAACCTTTCAGTGGAAAGGCGTCATTTGTGCCTTCGGCTCTGCTGCGTCGTTCAACTTCAAATCACCTCTCTCAATTACACATGCTGCTTTCTTTCCAAATATCATGTTCTTGGCCGCTGTGAGATGACACGTCACACGGTGCCGAGGTGAGACGTGGGTTTGCCAAGAAGCTGACGCTATGAGAAAGTTTTCAAGGACTAACAGGCCAAAATTAAGAACTCATGGGTGTGTTTGTTGCATGAAGTTAGTTGAAGGAGAGCAAACTTACGATTCAGATCTTTAAATAGAAGTGGTCAATGCACCGCTGGAATCTATAATTTGACATGTAAAGTGTGGTGACTGTTCTCTGTAATTTAAACATGCAAATATGCTTCAAACAATGAAGCAATGTCGAATCACGTCAGCTAACAGACAAGGCAGAGCTGTTCTTGTAGCTGCATGTTTGTCTTTGCTTTTTAGGTGTCCTGTTTTTTCCCCCTGTGTTTTTTATTCCTTCTTTTTTTTATATTGCTTTTACTCTGTTTTCCTTCAGGCCACTCAGATGTGTCCATGGCAGAGAGCACCATGTCTCCAGAGGAGATCGAAGTGGAGATGGCTCGCATCCAGCGCCTGCGGGAGGTCCTGGTGCGCCGAGAGTCAGAGCTGCGTTTTATGTAGGTGTCAGTTTCTGTGTTTTTGTGACACAAAACGTAATAGAGTGTGACAAAGACGCAATCAATACAGTGTCACAACAATTTCTATTGCTGTCCCTGGGCGGATAATGAGCTTTGCCTCGTTGCCATGACACATGACACACAAGCCTTGACACTCCGGTGATGCACTGCAAAGAAATTTAAGTGTTATTTCCTTGAGAGAGACAATACGTTGGCTGTTTGAAGTTTGTCCACTGATTTTTTCAGAGGGCTGGACATTCCGATGATGAACTCATTGCCTTTTCATCAACATTATCTTTAGGGGCTATGGATCAGTGTTTGGGATGAGACATTGTCTGAACTCCCAGAAATGTTTTGTCAGAGCTTTTTCTGCAGCAGGACAACAAATCCGATCAAATGCTGGATTTAATACTGTGGCAGTTTTCAAAGTAATAATCCAGTGCAATAGTTCAATACAGACCAGGGCTCCAAAAAGCTCTGAATCATTCATTCATTGTCAATTAACTGGCTGATTATTTTTCTTCTTCTTTTGCTAGAATGTGATGCAGAAATGCATTTTTTTTTTTTTGACAAACTATATGTCTTTCCACTGCAATAAACACCTGCATCCCGGTGGAAATTTGCATATTGTCATACAAATCATAATTGAAAAATACTAAAAAAGAACATTTTTGTAAATGCTCACAGCTGGACGGTACGCGTCAAAGTAACATCCACATGAATGCAAAAATTGAAGGTTTCCCAGCAGGATATTGCATCGTAACAATCTGATTGATATCATTCACTTCACCGGTTTTAATCTAGTTGCATTTCTGTTTTTAACTCTAGACAGAAATACAAGGCACAGTTTATTTTCTTTCGTTAAAACAGTTTTAAATTGTTTTACCACTGCAATATAAAGAACTGACAAGTGTATCTTGTGGGTCATTACACCTCTAACATCTGCTGTGTGATGCTTGAGGCGCCTGCTGAAGCCGATACACATCTTAAGAAGCTCACTCGGTTAATAATGTTAGTTCACACGCCCACTCGAAAGGCTTTATTAGACCGCCACGCTGCTTTACTGCTGACGTCTCTGTTGGACTCACATAAACACATGTATGTACACACATGTACACAAATCAGCAGATGGAGTGTCAGAGTGCAGAAGCTGCTAAAATCCACAGATAGCACTTGGAGAGCGACACACAAGGCAGAAGAGGGAGAAAAACCGAGGGAGGAGTCTATAGGGGGAGAAAAGAAAAAAGGAGGGAGGTGTAAAACAGCAACGGGGATAAACGCAGAGGGAGGAGGAGGCCGTGGATGAGTCATCGGCCTGATCTATCACAAGGAGAATTAAATCTATGGTTAGCTGTCGCTGCTCCGCAGACAGACAGGGAGGGAGGCGGGGATTCAGGGAGGAAACGTTGAATTCCCAGAGGGTGAGACATCAGGGCTGCAGGAGGCTCAAGCAGAATTGATTTTAGTTGCATGTTTTCCATCTACAGACATGTGATGGAGGCCCGAGGCCAGGAAATCTTAATGACAAGTACAAGAGCAGAGTTCAGTTCAGCTTCATTGGTGTTGAAACTAATAGTCCTTTAAATCAATAAGTAGAGTGAGAAAAATTGACCAGCAACACATTTTGGAGTGGAATTTCTTCACAATAATACCCAACATTTGGTGCGTGAGCTGAATGTGTTTGGTTTTCGATTGTTGGTTGGATAAAGTGAAGCAATTTGAAGATCTTGAATTCAGAATTTTCTGTGGTTTAAGTGGTAAAACGTCAGGCCTGGAAAGTGGCAATTTTAGGAAAAAAACAAAGAAAACAAGTCGCAAAAGTCAAATCTTTTGCAGGCTAAATCAAGACTAAATATAAAAAAGTGCTGAATGACTGATTTGAAATTCTTCCAAGAGTGTTTTCAGAAAGATTTACTATAAAGATACACCTCATGCTACCAAAATAGCTCAGAAAAACAGGGATGTTGGCAGTCTGGGGCCTCTGTGGATCAGCTTGTTCGATCCAGAAAAGGTTCAGTTGGATTGAGATCTGGGGAGTTTCAAGGTGGGTAAACACCTTGGGCTTTTTTGTTTGTTTGTTCCTCAACCCATTTTTGAGCAGTTTTCCCACTGGGGAGCGCTGACAATGTTTACATGTCAAAGGAACATCCACATGAGTGGCAGGGCCGACGGTTTCCCAGCAGAGCATTGCAGTGTAACGGTTGCTTCAGCTGTCAGTGGTTTTAATGTTTCGGTATACGTCTGCCTAACATCATTCTCGTCAGATAAACATCCAAAGTGGAAGTTGGAATGGCTAATATCAGTTCTTCTTTAATCTGATGGAGGCCAGTGATTCACTGTTCTTTGTCTCCTTCTAGGATGGATGACATTCAGCTCTGCAAAGACATCATGAGCTTGAAACAGGAGCTCAGACAGATTGTGGCAGTACCAGGTATAGTTCACACACGTTCATTCTGCCTTCACCAACAACCAACATGAAGCATTTCAGGGAATGAAAAACTCTGAATTTATCGTGTTGCATTCAAAACCGTCTATTTCCTTGTTTTGACTCAAAGCAAAAATAGCATTTTTGGCAAAAAGTGCTTCTGTTTGCAGCTCAGCAGAGTCCCATAACCTCTGCAAGCATCACTGTGATTTATATGAAGTGTCGCTACACTAAACTACACAGGATTGATTGCGAGTCTCAGGGACAGGGAGAGATAATCATACATACACAAACACTCATGCATCATCACCGTATGAGCTGCAGGACTCATTCCAGGCACCGTGTCAAAAAGGAAATTTCAACACGCATTTTTAACTCCCCAGTTGTTGTTTTTTTTTATGCTCCAGCATACAGAATCAAATATTAACGCAACTCCACATTCACAACTCTTTCTGAAAATGCAGCGAGAAAAGGGGTTTGGTGACGTCAGCCGCATCACACTCAGTAACACATATGTGAAGCTGTGCGTGCAGAGACCCTGACAGCCTCAAAGAGAGCACACATCATGTGTCAGTGTGTTTGCACAAAGGATGGTGTCAAGTTCAAGGACGCACAAACAGGACACACCAGTGACCTGTCAAACACTGGGCAGATTTTAAAACCACTTGACATTGCAGCAGTGTAGACAAAATAACAGAAACATCTGACAAGCCAATAATACAGTTCTAAATAATGCAGGTGTTGCAAAGTTTATGTTTGTATTAAAGATGTAAGAATGTAAAGCAATCGCAGATGTTATTCATTTAAAAAAATGAGACAGCTGTCTTCATTGCTTGTAATAGACTATGGATCATCCATCCATTCATTATCTATACACCGCTTAATCCTCATTAGGGTCGCCGGGGGGCTGGAGCCTATCCCAGTCGACTTAGGGCGAAGGCAGGGGACACCCTGGACAGGTCACCAGTCTATCACAGGGCTACACTTAGAGACAGACAACCAAGCACACTCACATTCACACCTACGGACAATTTAGAATCACCAATTAACCTCAACATGTTTTTGGACTGTGTGGGAGGAAGCCGGAGAACCCGGAGAGAAACCACGCTGCACGGGGAGAACATGCAAACTCCACGCAGAAAGATTCCGGTGCCCCCACCAGGATGCAAACAGGCAACCTTCTTGCTGCAAAAGTGCTACCAACTGCGCCACCCTGCAGCCTGACTATGGATCAATTTCTATGTAAAGAACTGAGGATGAATTTTCTGGGGGGGGGAATCCAAAAGATGTGACGCTTATGCTCACTACCTCGGTGCCCCCTTTCTGCTCCCCTACAGCTCCAACAATATGCCACACCAGCTAATGTTACCTTAGAAATGCAGTCTGCTCTGAGCACGCTGCAGACTCCAACACAAATTCCATGTAAGCAGAAAAGACAAAAAAAGTTTTGTCTAGTTAAACCTGTCTGGCCAAATGAGACTGCTGTTTGGGAAAACTAGGGTCAGCATCAGCAGGGCATTCAATTCATGGAGGGACAAAAGACTAAAAAAAAAAAAAAACATTAGTCAAAGTATAGTCTTGCATAGTCACATCAAAAATCCACAATTTGATTTGTATTTGACTCTGTACAGTCAGATATAGTTGATCTGTCACTTTAATGGCCTCACCTGTCAACATGCCAACCAACAATGTTCAGTCCTGTGCCAATTAATTGATTTCCAATTAAAATGATGGCTTAAAACAATACAGTTAGCCAATTACAAAGGCTGCAGGTAAGGATATTCACTATGCAGCACATTTGATTCAGCTTTTAAACTGCTGTGAGAATAGTTATTATAAATTAATGCTGTCCACGTTTTGTGACAGTTTTGATGGCATTTTATTGTAATGCTCTATCAAGGTTTTAAAGCTGTGACACAGAGCATACACTGCTTTATCGTCTGTTTTACCCTAAATAGGACCATAACTTACCAAATTACCATCATGTTGTTTTAAAGGATACTTAAAAGGGGTGATTGAGACCATAAACTCATTAGGAAAATCTTAACTAAGGTAACAAATCAAGTGAGAATTTGGATCATTTTCAAATAGACTTGTATACAATCAGACTTCTTTTTCGAGCCTCCTGCTAGCCATCAGAAAGAGTGCAGGTTACTTCTGCATTAGCTAGCCTGATGCAGTTACCTTAACAACCACAGAGAACCTTTACTGGTGCAGGAAAAAGCCTTCATCATTTACTGCTATGATCATTTTTCATGCCCAGATTTGAAAGATTTCTCTCAGGGTTGTAGCAAGGACTTTAAAAATAATAAGACTGTGAATCCCTCGAGTGCAAAGACCCCAGATACAGAAAAAGAAAGTTAAGAAGTGATCCTACGGATCATTTGCTGAACAGTCAGTAACTGTGGCAAAAGTGGACATAATGGGATAATGTAAAATGCTAATCAACAGCATCATAAGCTACTGGTCATACCAGACTAATTAAAGCTGAATAGACAAAACGTCTGAGCGTATTGGATGCATGGTTTATTACGGGTAAACATCATTTATAAGAGAAAGAATGTGTTGGTTACTTATTTAAAATGTGACATTGTCTAGATTTAACATTTTCTTATTATGGAGCTTGATCATAATTTATTTATTTACAAATTTTATTCTTAATAAAGGGGGCGAGGGAGGGGGTTATTTTCATTTTGTCCACCTGCCATTCATGTGGACTTATTGGTCACACAAGCAGGACAATGTCACATAAAACCTGCTTCTGAGCCAACAGGGTCTTATGTATGCCGCTGTTGGGGGTTCTGACATTCCATTACTTTACTCCAGAACAGCCGGAGTCACATGACAAACATTTCTCTGTCACTGGGATTAATGCGTCAGAGTCATGCACCCTCAGGTTGTCCTGCTCCTGAGGGGATACCCGCCGTAGCTGCACTGTTCCACTTTATTTCCGGACGAGGAAAAAGAGCTGATGCTTGCAGTCATTTTAGCCCAGAAACCAGCGGCAGCAGACAACCTGCCTCTGCAGCCGTCTGCGCATGTGTCCTTGTATACACTTGATACCGGTGCGTTTGTGTTTGTCTTTTTTTGTGATTTGGAGTGTGAAGGTTAGAAAAGTGAGTCGAGGCAAAACTGATGCCACAAACGTATATTCCTTCGCCAAACAAAATGAAAAAGAAAGCTCTCTAGCATTTGCATAATTAAGCCAGTGCCTTATTTGTTATAAATTATACATGAGAGGAGAATTAAGGGTCTGTTTGTGATGTGACTCGGTACTTAAGAGCCAGCTGACTTTGCTGTAAGGTCAGTGTGTTAAGGTCAGCTTCAAGCAGCTAAAAACCTGGTGACTGCTTGGATATTTCATGTGAGGAAGTACATACACGTCTGTGCATTCTGCTCCATCTACAGTGTTAAAAATATACATAAATAAGTTTAAAAAATAAACAAATGGCAATATTGCAGCAGCTGGGTTGTCAAAAAATACTGTAAAATAACAGAAAACAAAAAATCTAAAAAACATGTATACTTTAATTTTCCAAAATGAATTATAAATGTCTATATGTTTATATAATAAAAAACAGTTTTGTGTGCATTTATTAAATGTTTATTGAAAGGTATTTACATATGTAAAGAAAATAGAAAAGAAAAAGAAAAAGAAAAAGAAAAAAAATACCTATGAAAATGGTTGAATTATGCCTTAGTACAAATATATATACAACACTGTTATTGATCTTTTTCTTCTTCTTTTTTTGTTGGATCCATGTTGGATCAGACTCCTGCCCTGATGACAGTCTTATGTCATTTTGTAAGGTCTATATCTTACTTTGTTAAGCGCTGTGTGATAATGTATTATAAACTGTGCTATACAAATAAAATTGAATTGAATTGAATTATCCATTCACAATCACAGCGCCACCTTCTGGCAACGGGAAAGGACATGTTTTACACTTGTATTTGCCATGATTAGCCGGTTGACCGTATTAACCTCAAATGTGGTTAGGCTCACAGTTGGGTGATTGTCACTTCGCATGGAGCGTCGACGTGCACCGCGTCCGACATGCTTGGAAGTACGAGGGCCTGTCCAACGCTGCTTGCAGCTTTAATTTTCTCTTGTTTTTTTCTCCCCAGAGAAAGAAAAAAACAAGAAGCACAGGCAGCGGGAAGAGGAGTTGATCCTGAAGATCCATAAACTGGTGCAGAAGAGGGATTTCCTGGTCGATGATGCTGAGGTGGAGAGATTAAGGTACAGGCCTCCTGCGTATTGAGCTCAGTTAATATCCGGGAGCAGAATGTCTGTTTGTTTACTCAGATGCTGCTGGGCAGAACTGCAGCTGCTGTTTATTTCTTCATTAAACAGGGAAGCTGCAAGAAGGAAAGCCTAAATGTGTAGCGCAAACGTGAGCATGAAGGCCAAGGACAGCGTGTCTTCATCATCACTACTCTGCCTTCAGTGTGTGGGAGGAGGCTGAGTGATGGTCCAGCCTCTGCGTTGTCATTTCCCTCCTCTGCTCCCACTGATAACCAACAGAGTGTGACACAGAGATAACGTCCACGCAGACATTATGAGGGCTTTAAATCACTGCATGAACAAATTTATGCGCAGTTGATAAGATTAATTTTTGAAGTGTGTTATCAGATTCTCCATGGATTATTTTAACCCTCTGAGCCCCAAAACTTCCCAGTGGATTTAAAAGGCATGTTGTGTTTTGCGTTTTTTTAAATCGCCAAAATTACACCATTTTATGAATGAGAAACTGTAAAACCAGAAAAAATTGCCAGTTTTGTCTTAAATGACTCATGTGTGACTTCCATTCTGTCCGAAAACCTAACTAAGATTAAGGCAACAATCATGATATTTCATTAAAATCACTATTCTACGTGTCTCATTTATGAATTTCCCCCAAATAAACCAGTTGCACTGACAGAGTCTGTGAAAAACATACAACTCTTTGTTCCACAGTGCAATCATGAAGGCATGAGACCAACAGTCATGTGACAAACATTTTGTGAATTTTTCAGCTGAACTGCAGGATGTGGTTACATAGATCAGATAAGAGACAGGTAGGGAAGCAAATTAAAAATGTAAATATCTAAATATGTATTGTATGTGGAGTTACTATTATTTTTTCAGTATTGGTAACATCCGTGTGTACAAGGAAAAATGTTGTACATGTTGATTCCAGTTTTTTCTCAATTTTTTCTACAGTTGGAAAAGTACAGTTTCGTTAATTCAGACTCTAATATTCAAAGTAGCTGCTTAATTCAAAGTAGTTTGAAGCTTCAAATAACTTAATTGGAAATTTCATTTAATAATTTAGTCATTTGCTATTCCATTACGACTTTCAATTAGTGAGATATTACTGTATTTTGAGGCGTAATAGATGCTTCCCGTTGCCAGAATCAAATTGTAAGGTGTCAAAAATGTGTAAAACAATTTTAATATCAGGAAAAAAATGGATAAACGGGTTGAAAGATATTCAGAAATATGATGCCAATGCATGCCATCTTGAAAAGTGGCTTCCATCTATTCCATTGGTGTAAAATTAGTGAAAAATCCTTATCTTAGAAGCTGTCAAATAAATTTTGCGTAAAAAATCTGTGCAATTTCGATAATAATCTGTGTCTTAATATTGTGGAGGGGAAGTATAAAGTAGTGCAAAATGGAAACATTTAAGAAAAATACCTCAAAATTAGGTCTGCAAGATGGCGCAGTTGGTAGCACTATTGCCTCGCAGCAAGAAGGTTACTGGTTCGCATCCCGGTGGGGGCACCAGGATCTTTCTGCGTGGAGTTTGCATGTTCTCCCCGTGCAGCGTGGGTTCTCTCCGGGTTCTCCAGCTTCCTCCCACACAGTCCAAAAACATGTTGAGGTTAATTGGTGATTCTAAATTGTTCGTAGGTGTGAATGTGAGTGTGCTTGATTGTCTGTCTCTAAGTGTAGCTCTGTGATAGACTGATGACCTGTCCAGGGTGTCCCCTGCCTTCACCCTAAGTCAGCTGGGATAGGCTCCAGCCCCCCTGCGACCCTAGTGAGGATGAAGCGGTGTATAGATAATGGATGGATGGACCTCAAAATTATACTCTAGTGCAGCACTTGATGTATTTCCCACCACTGGTCCCTGAACACTGACGAAGATGAAGGCAGAGAGCTGCTCATTGGTACGTCTGAAAAGACGGAATGACAGAATTAATTGGATTGAAGAATGTGGACAGAAAGATGATTGAAAACTTCGCAAACAAAATAATCCATCAGTGTACATACAGGCACACCTCTCTAATATAACGTCCAATTTAAATCAGCTTCTTGCACAACAGAACCATCAGGAACATGAATCAATACATGCAGCCATGAGACATATACTTCATACTGCACATGCCAGAATTTGACAGAATCCTTCCAGTTGACTGTCCAAAAAAGTCTAAACATTTTTTTCCCTGTGTAACGGATGGAATATTTGTTTTAATTAGACAGCAGGATTGTCCCTGAGGATGCTGGAAATAACTGCAGAAACTTTTAAGTGATGCTAAATGGCCAGGGATTTGTCTTTCGGGGAAACGGATGCTCAGCTCCGAGACTTAAAAGTAATGATAATGTGGGGAAATAGTGGCACGGCACGAGTCTGATTAACAGAAGCCTTTACTAAACTGCATCCAGAATAAGATACAACTGTTTTCTACTTTAGGGAGCAAGAGGAGGACAAGGAGATGGCCGAGTTCCTCAGGCTGAAGCTGATGCCTCTGGAGCAGAAGCTCAAAGTCACACAACGTGAGTGAGAGGTTAAAGATGACTCACAGACAGGAGAGTGTTGCTGCTTACGGGGTGTGATGATGTCTCTCTTTCCTCTTTTCTCTCATGACAAGATCCTCCAAAGCCCAAGAGACAAATCCCGGAGCCGCCTTCCAACAAACCCTTCATCACTAAGTCAGGGGCAGCCATCATCAAGGACTGCTGCGGAGCCACCCAGTGTGCTGTAATGTAACCGGCACAGACTTCCACATGTCGGATACACATCACACGACACGACATGCATCCCTTCCTGTTACGCAGAGAACCGCAGTTAGCAGCGTTTGATCTTGAAACTGCTCAGGGATCAGATTTGTAGTTTGGCTGCAGGCGTTTGGGAGCTGATCAGTATTCAAGGTGAAACTCTGCAGGAAAGATATTCATCAAGAGTGTTTATATACATGAAGTAAAGAGAAAAAGGAGAGAGATAAAGGTACGTCTGGTGTGTTTAGAAGCAGGTCGCATCATTCCCTCATTCCACGATGATGCATCCGATACAAGCAGAAATACAAGCACAATGAACTAAAAGCTGAGGTTCTCTGCCAGACAGGACAAAATAAGAAAATTAGCTGTTTTCATCCCATCATGTTGGACAACAGGTTTAAATTGATTCATTTCAGCTCATAAACATCAACATGGTTAACCTCGTACACTTTCAAAAGACCCAACTCTGCACTTTCATTAGTTTAAAAAAAAAAGACAAAACAGCAACACACAAATGGCTGCCTGTTAAGTGACTTATGCAAACCGGTGTATAAATACTAGAGAGGTGTAGCAGCAGCCAAGGGATGCTTTTGAGTCGAGCAATATTCTGATAGCAGCAGTTTTACTCTCTGGACATAGAGAGTTTACAGATTGAAGATGTTACCAAAAGCTCATAAATTAATTAAAAGATACTGCTACAGAGCCGGATCATTCTGGGCTCAGTGCCAGTTAGTAATATCTGTGTGATGTGACAGAAGTCTGAGACACGAGATGACAAGCAAAATGGCACAAAAGTAGAATCCAAACTGTATGTAAAACAGTGTCATTGCAATACAACAGATAAATACCAAGAAAACAGCCTCTTGTATTCCTTTAAATGCACAGATCATAACATTATTTCAATGGGAATATAATGGGCATTTACTGGATTAGAGGTTGATACTGATACCAGTTATTAACACAAGTAGACAATAGCTGATAAGTGAAACCAATATACATTTTCATTAAAAATTAAAGTCCTGGTGTCACATACTCTTGCATCTTCATTCCTCCCATCAGAGATGCAAGCAGAGTTAGAAAGTTAGTTAAAAAAAAACAAAAAAAAAAAACACGTGTCGTAAAATATAAAAGAGGCGTGACACACAAAAAGGTAGCTACTGTACACATAAATAGAGAAATATAGTACGATTCAGTGATGCATATTGTAGACTCACAATTGTCGACCTGGCTCCCAACATGGTTTGTGTGTTCCAGGTGTGTGTAGGAACCACTTGAGCAGCTCTTCTTTGGGTCCTAGCTCCTCCTCGAGATGCATTTTAGAAATTGAAACAACCTTCAAGATGACGCACAAAGGCTGATTTTCAGCTCACAAGCAGGAAGACAAAGGAACAAGAAGGCTCAAAATAGTGAAATGAAACAAGCTTAGAGAAAGGAGGCTACACATTTTTAAACTCATGTATTTTATGGAGAACCAGTTTTTTTAAAAAAAAGACCAGAAAGATACTGAATATCGCATCTGATAATGTAGTTGTAGGTTTCCCGTTTGTTTTGATAAATCAAGTAAATCCAATGAGAATATCAACTTTCGTATGCTGGGAAAGCAGAATCCTCCTAATTTAGCAAAATCAGACAAGATAACCGTTAAGATACTAAAATGTGTCTACAGACTTTCTGTCTCATTGCATGGAAAGCACTAACTGAGCTGCAGCCTCATGTGACTCACTTCTGTAGTGCTTTCAGTAACACCTCTGATGATTTTAATGCCTGTATATGCCAACACTGACATCATTTGTCATCCTGCTAACTCATCATCCCCCAAAGTCGACACATCAACTAACACCATCAGCTACTGAGAAAGTAGTGACATCATTCATAGTAATTATGGGAAATTACCGACAAACAACTTGCATCCTCTGAATTTAGTCTTGCGTTGTTATGATAAACACCAGGAAATGAATGCAATTCTCTTGTAAATGCCTCCAATAGACGGTGTATGTTTGAGTGTACTTAGGACATTAGTGACTCATGTCAAGCAAAGTGTTGCTCTTTGTCACTTTCTTCTGATAAACTTAGCGTTCTGTAGTTGTAGTGAATTTATGAAGGTCCTATGTTGAATATTGAACAAATATGCAGAAAAATAAGCTGAAACTACCTGTACATACATGTTTAAATAAAGAGCATCTTTCAGGAACGTGCTGTTTGTTCTGTGATTCTTTCAAATCAACCCCCCCCCCAAAAAATACAGAAGAAGCAGATGTTATGCTTGTGAATTTTAATAACGCAAATCTTTTTGGTCCCTTCAACAAGGTTTGACTGTTACAGCGACTTATGGAGCAACAAGGCGTTAAACAGGTGGATGTAGAGAGGACACACAGCGAGACAGTTGTTGAGAAGGTAAACAGAAATCAAACTGCAAGGCAAAAGGTTTAAGGTAACCGAAGAAATTAAGTTCCTTTAAAAGCAGCTGTAGAACAACTGTTGTGCAATGCGAAAACTGAATAAGTAAGCCAAGGTCAGGAACAGATGTCAAGAGAAAACTTGTTTTAACCCCTTTGTGAACACATACTGTACGTATTTCATGAACCAAAACTATGCAGATGTGCATATTTTGACAGATATAATAGCTTCTCACTAATGTCATGAAAACAAAGCGAGAACTCTTTTAAAACTGAGTTGGTTGTCACTGTATAACTGCAAGGAATTACTAGGGTTTGCTCAAATCCACAAAAAAGTAATGCTTTCATACTGCCAAATTTAAATCTAGACATTTCTTGTGAGCATTTTACTGCATATGCTTTTTTTTTTTTTTATCATTACCAATTCTAAATAATTATTCTGAACGGATAATTCTTTAATCAAAGCGGGTTCCAGACAGTCAGTAAAACATTGCAGGAGAGATAAGCCTAATTAAAAACATCGCGATTAGCATGTCAGACATTTTGGTGAGTTGGCAGGTGGAATCTTTTCACACCAAGTCGACATCAAGTCTGACAAAGAAAACTCATGCTATAATTCCAACACTGACTAAACAGGTAGAAAATGTGAACAAACTGATTAAATGGGCCGCTACCCATTCTCTGAACCTTTTCTCTGAACACAAACAAACTGTGTGACTTCAGCGGCACCTGCGTCGTGCTTAGAGGCAGCAGATGTCGTTTGGTGGCGATTTCAGCAGCCAGCAGCCAAGCAAACATTTGAGAAGAAGAAAAGTTGAGAAACCGACGCACATCAGTAAGTTAAAACTACTCTATGCGAGATGTGAGAGGGCTGGGAAGTACGACGGGGATTTCTTTCAGCGCCGCGGCAAATACAAGCCATTGTAAAAGCCCGGCAAAGTCCAGAGAGCCGCAGAGGGTCCTCTGACATCACAGTCCAGTTCAGGAGGCTTCCCAGAGCCCCCATGCTGCTCCACAAACCTATCACCCGTCGCCTCCCACCCCGCCTCCTTCCCTAAAAACTCACAACCATTCACTGTGTCATTAAAAATCAAAACTCAGGAGTGCCTGCTGCTCTCCTCAAACTCTTCAACTCGGACAGCGTGGACGCCACTGCTGATACAGAGTCAACCAGCAACAAGGTTAACTCAACAAACCTTGAGCTCCTCTTCGGCAACTGCATAAGTGACGCCATGTCCGAGATCCATAAATCATGGCGGAAATAAAGACTGATGTTAAAGAATGTCTTGCCATCACCTGCTCCTGTCTGCTCCTCCTGGGATTACACCATGCATAAACTCAGTTATGCACACCATGCACATTTCACACCACCTAATCCAGTGTAAACCACACAGACAAAATACAGCTAAAAGAACACAAACGCGCTGGCTGCTGGATAAAGACAAACAATAAAAGTAGATGTCGCTTTCTGCTGCCTGAGCACGCATATGGCTGGAGTTTAAGCGCCGCACGTTTCCCTTTCAGACTTTCATTAATGGCCCTGGAGAGATGAGCCAAAATATTTGCTTTAAATTAAGTCAAAAGACAACAATACAAGTTTCTGAGAGCAGCAACCGTCCAAATATCAGCCAAAACCTCTCGATGTTCAACTAACTGTTCAAAGGCTTCCACGAAAGTTCCATCTGAACAGTTAATGGTGGTTTCTCTTCTGTCCCATCAATAAATTGCCACTCAATCCACTATACATTTAGGCCAAACCCTTCCACAGATGACTCAATACTCTGCATAGTATAAAAGGAACTAAATTACTATCCTTAGGCTACTTTACAACAGAGACAAAATAGGAGAATGTGCCTCAAAGAGAAGCTACGTATTTAGAAATCTGAAAGGATGAAACAATCAGGTGTTTTTCAGCTAGTCTGGTTGACACATCTGGGGCTACCTACAAAGAAAAATCCCCACAAGTTGAACCTGGCTCTAAAATGAATTTGTCTTAAATTAAATATTCTGTTTTTGGGGATAGAGCAAAGAAGAGAATGTTTTTCGTGGTTCATCAACAAAATGTCTCTAAAAACGTCTGTTTGTCAAGTTTACAAACTGATAATGTGGGTAACTATGTCTCTTGGATTTAATGCAGAGAACCTAGTTACTCATTCCCTGCAATCCTCCCATTGTTAATCAATATTCTGTATACAGTGACAACTAGCTCAGTTTCAGTTCCTCGACACAATGTGGCTCCAAACTGAAGAGGCTCCTTCATGGATATATAAATCAACTGCCCTTAGGTTGAATTTGAACACAGGTTACAGTATGTGAATTTGGCAAATAAAGAATTGCAGAAAATCTGCAGGAAGTAAATCACAGCTTGGTGAACATCATTTTAGGATTGTGAAAACAAAGAGAGGAAAGATGGCTGATGAGTGATGAAGAAAAAAGCAGAAAACTGCAACAGCCTGTTGGGACATTGAGGGGACAACACCAATGCTCCTCTTGGGTCATTTCTGTGTTGTGTCCCTAGTGTAGCTGGTCAACTCTCTGATTGAGAGTTACACTATGTGTAATCTAGTTTTACTGTATGTATGTGAGGCTGGATGTGGATGTGAAAGGATCAGAGGCCTGCAGTGAATGAGAAGTTGGCAGCTAGTCTGATTCTGCTGCGCGTGGATCTTCTGCTGGGACTGTCCATGGACAAGGCGGTCTTTGTTTCAGGGGGTGGAGGAGGTTTGGTGATTGCAGAGCCTTCAGTGCTGCCAGGCTGCTCAGGTGCATCAGATGTGCTGTCTGCAGCTGCCACCTCAGATTCATCGCTCGCTGAAATCACACACAAGTACAGACTGAGCCTCTACTCAAACAAAAGTGTGATATGTTTAGGGACGTTTATCATGAACTGTTATTATTTGCCCTTAATATATCTACAGATTAAAAATATGTTATCCGATAAAGCACCAGATGGGAAAAGAGGAACATGGATGTCAGAAAATGTACTGTACATTAGCTGTAGTACCTGGTTGCACCACCAGGGGGAAAGAGTGCAGCTGGTTTGCTGTGTTAAATACTGAGACCTGGGGAGGCAGTTGTTTGGACGACAGGCACTTACATGGGAATCACGGGAATGGGCAACCCCAATTTGTGAAATTACTAGTTTTGTGAATATTAATTCAGTTGTGTTTAAACTTTGAATGTTGTGAATGAGTGAGGCAGTTGTGTGGCTGAAAGCATTGTTAAGAGTTTAGCGAGCAGCGGGACACAGTGACAGACTTTTGTAGCAGTTAATGGCATCCAGACAGCAGACATGAGCAGAGAGTGTGCTTAACTTCTTCTGGTCAGCCTCCCAGTAACCACATGGTGCCTTGAGTGTGGTGAATGCTTGTCAAACTAAGACATCTTAATTAAGTTAATATGATATCAATCAATTGATAGCCATTAAAATCATGTAATTATTGTTATAAAATATGTAGTACAAATACCTAGTGTTTACTTTATCTATTCTTGAAATTTTTAATGACAGCAAGCCAATTTTGCAGGAAAAAAATATCTGGCCATATTACTTTACAAAAACTCCACTGTATTCATAATCATAATCAATTTAATGATTGTTGATTGCTAACGTGGCCAAGTAATAGCTAGGAAATTTGCCTAATATTTGCATTCCTAGATTTGCTTATTGAAATTGTAAAATAAAAACAATTCTTTTAAACTTGCAATACTACCAGGACTATGTATAATTAAATGATATGGGTTTAAATGCAATGAAAAATACATGAAACCTTAAAACTGACCTGTTGGTTGAGTTTTCTCCTCAAAGTGAATCAAGTCCGTCTGCTGGAGGCCTACTGGGTCGGGGTGGAGCTGAGGTGATGGCAGGCAGGATGGTACAGGACCACAAAGCAGGTCCACTGGGGCTGTCAGACACAGCAGCTCCGAGTCTGTAGCTACATCACCACCTGGCAAGTGAAAGAAAAACTGCTGACTGACAAGCATTTAAAGAACTCACAGAACTTATAAATATCAAATTTCAGACATAACTGCATAGAAAATGAGAGCCATCAAGGCAACAACATGAAAAGATTGTGGGTAAAGTCCATTTCTTTTTCATTTTCCTAATCTCATGTGAAGCTTCTTTTAGAATTTTGATTGGAAACAAACTATGCAAATAAACTCAATCTTAAGCAGTTTATATAAAGACGTGTGCAGCTTCCATTACCTGGACTCTGAGCTCCAGATGTTGCAGTGCTTGTTGGACTGTCTCTCGGGCTTTCCATGTTCTCTCCTGGCTGGGGACTGTTGGGGACTGAACAGCTTGGCTTTGCTAAAACACACACAGGCAGAACCACATTTCCCCACTTTCCATACAGACACCATCTAATGAAATCCCTTCCCAACAAAACCCAAGAAGCAACTACAGTTTAGTCCTCCGTCATATCATTTCATCAGGGTTCATCACTTACGGTCAGAGTGCAAAATATATCAGCGATTGGACTTCATACGCTTGACTTAAACTAATTAAAAATGCAACACACTTACCTTTCATATCGTTCTTTAAAACGATAATCTTCTTGTGACCGTGCCCTTTGATCCAGACCACCTGATGAGACAACCCCCATAAGCACTATAGGTAAGACTTGAGGATGCAGTATAAAATGTATAGAAGTAATGCACTTCACAGAATGTGAACAAAAAAATGACAAGAAAAACTGACAAGCAGCTGAAAGATTAAAGTAGCACTACAATTGCTCCTTCACTATGGACAGCTGATGTGAAGTAAGTGCTCAGTTCTAGAGGTAGAGCAGTATCTACTGAAATAAATTTCCACCTGTGGTATGGCGCTGAGGAGCTCATCAGTGCTGGTATATCCGTAGGAACGTGGTTCAAGGCTGCAGCCTGTAAATTTGTTATACACCCCCTGGAACTCCGTCAGGAAGATCTGGTTGTAGTGGTAGGTGTGGAGCAGCGCGCGTACATTACGAGCAAACTGGTAAAGCCTGGTCAGCCTCACCCATTCCTCTCCATGGCTCGTGGCAGTGATGCCAGCTTCACAGCTTTCATCACTTTCTTCATGGTACAACTATGAACAAAGGAAAAGGGAAGATGAAGCACATCAAGATTTTCTGTTTAAGCAAGGGTATTTACAAAGCAAAAAGCTTATTGTTTAGGACCAATTCACACTTTCCATGTTTGCAAGGGTACACATAAACCTCTCGGCAGACGTCCACAAGCAGCCTAAAATCTGTGACTGTGCGGACTGGACACACTGCAAAGGCACCGACTGTACAAGTGCCAGGAAAACAAGTGGTGCTTAAAACAAATGTTTGGCAAGAGTAGAGACTGTATGAGGTGATTTTCCATCATCCACATCTTGTTTATTCATCATAAACAGAGTTACAATTAATCACAGCCAGACATTGCAGGAGAAATCCTGAGCAATGTTCACCTACTGTGCTCAGCACACCTCAGGAATAACCACATCAACACTGTGCTGCAGCGTAGTCTGTAACCAGCTGCTGTATTCCTGTGTTTTTCTGAGTTTGATAGGAGAAGCAGTGATCGTCCATTTAGCAGACAGTCACATACTTTGTGTAGCATGAACAGAATCACGTCTCTGCTTTCAAAGCCTGTGTAGGTCAGCACACACAGAAAACATGAATTGTCCCTTTAAACTCTTGTGCTTACCTCCACAAGGTATGGAAGGCTCTTGAGTAACTCGCTGAGGGACAGGAACCCATATTCACACGGGTTTAGCAGGGTTCCGTGAACAGTTAGGTAATGCTGGCTCAGCTCTTCCACCTTCAGACCCCTGATGACTTGATCCTCCTCTTGGGACATGAGCAGAGCAAGAAGCTGAGAGGTGAGCGAGCGCAGAGACTTCCTGTTGATCAACTGCACCTCCCGACCCTCTGAGCCATCCACCACCTTGAAAATGGAAGACATGCAGTTGTCAGTCTACTATATTTTATATTGTGTTGCACATACACAATGATCATCATCATCATCAAAAACCCTTTGCAGTGATAATGGTTATGCAAGAGAATAATTTTTAAACCAGAGAAGACAGTAAATTAAATCATACTCAAGCTTAAATGTTTGCTGTGAGCTGTTCCATCAGCTTCGCCAGAATTATCATAAAGTTTTATAAACACTCACAGTTTCAGCAAAACCTGAATATTATAACCTTCACAAAAGGTAAGACAAGGCTTCATTTGATTTCGCTAGGAGTATAAACTGTCTAATTTATAACAAAACAAACACTCTTGACAATTAAAAGAATATAATGTTTATGTGTAGCATGAAGTGAGTACGAAAATAACATTATCTGAGATGGGGTTTCATTTTAAACCTTTTTGTGAAACTCAAAACTGACCAATGGGGAAATGAACGGCCTCTCCCGCCTGAGGCTGTGGTGACCAATGGGAGAAGGGCTGTTTTTTTTGTTTGTTTTCTGTTGTTTTTTTAAGCAACGCTTATTTTAACAGTTCAGTGATCCAGTCCACATCCTAATATGTCACTTGTTTCAGGCTGCCACAATACAAAATGGTTTGCAAGACTTAAAGTCTCTCTTTGTAGGGGAAAAAAAAAAAAGATTTATGTGCATCTGGCACAATTAATTTGAAAACGGCACACAAACGACATAACAATCAACATGTTTTCCATAAACACGGATCCCTTTCCCTCCTCATTCCCTCATAGCAGCATCCCTCAAACATCTCACCTCAGAATCTACTACAGACTGCTTAATCATATTTGTGGAAGGTGTTGAATTTAGTGTTCCCTCTTCATGATTCAATTGCCTTATTTTTTACTTATGTTTTTTGCAGCCACATTTCCAAAGTGTGAGATTTTGCTTTATTAATTTAGGCAGCAGACAGTTCAACTAACACTTTATCATGAAAATATGTTGCCATTTTCTGGTAATGAGATCATGAGGTAGTGAATTTCCTGAAATTTTAAGGTTTACAAACTTTCTTCAGCAGCAACAGAAGGGAAAGCCAAACTCTGGAAAAAAAATCCTTTGAGGTGTTGTGTACCTTGACAACATGGCAGAGTTTGGTCAGCAGAGCAAGGAGGGAGCTTGCATCATAGTCCTGGAGCCGCAGACCGTAACCAAAGGTCTTACTGTACTCAGTGAGCAGCTGGCTGACAGGAAGACTGGAGTTTTTCTGAGCCCTTAGCAGCTTGACCAGCTGAGCCGCCAGAGCTTTGATACGCTCAACCTCTGTCAGAGTCAGCACCTTCTCCTCACCACACTCCAACACCTGATGACAGTGGAGACACTGGAGAGTCAAACTGAACTTGAAGAGGTATGTTTTCCACAGAGAGCTCAAGATGTCGCAGTAAGATTTAGCAACCAAGTTTAAAACCAAACACACGAAAAACAAGAAAGAAGCAATTAAAAAATACAATAAAAAAACAAACAAACAAAGAGCCTGATCAGATCCAATGAGAAGAATGAAAATTAAAGTTTGGAGATACAGAAGCAATCGTTGTTAGAACCATCAATGACAGAATTCATGACAGCCTGTATGAAACAACCTGGGCTTTGGAACACCAAGGGGCACATGGCAATGCAGTGTAGGGCAGCACAATTAATCAAATTTTAATGACGATCACGATATTGGCTTCCTGCGATCAAATTTGCGTGATCTAGCGATATTTAAAATGTGTAATGCTGTGTTCACACCAGATGTGAGTAAAATCACTCGCGCAAATGATTTACATGCAAAGTCAATGTGAAGATGCGATTAGGCGCAAGGAGACATCCCGCGGCGCAACTTGCGCAATTAGTGCAGCGTGATTGACACGAACTGAGTTATTCACGCGTATGACGCGATTCTAGACGCACATTTGAAGAGCAAGTTGAAAAATCTGAACTTTTGCGATCTGATGCGACACGATGGCCAATCAGCGTTGAGATCCTCTGGTGACATCAACAACATGATTCATTCAGTTTTTTACAACCGTGAATACTGATTGATTTACTTTGGAGTTTTATTCACATCCAGTTTATAATTCCATATTCCATAAGTTTATAATTCCATATTTCCATATTTCCAGAATGGAAAAGGAAACTAGTGCCCTGTTTTGTTGCCTTTTCATTATTCTTTTATTTATCTTTATTTTTTAAAGAGTTGCACTCAATTTTGGAGACAAAGAGGACCCATTTTATTTTAAAGCACATATTTGCACATTAGCAGGAATGTAGCATAATATATGGATGTAACAATTATAATAAGTCTGTAAAGAATAAAATTAGTTTTGGTTAAAATCAACAAATAATCGTGATAATTAATCATGATTTCAATACTTATCAAAATAATCATGATTATCATTTTGGCCATAATCACTAATGCAGTGTATACAAACATCCAACACAAAGTGTGTCTCACTCACCATCAAAATGTCAGGGATCGCCTCGAAGAGCTCCATGAGCTTGGTGAATCCGTAGTAGCTGAGCTTGCACTGACGACCAAAGTGGTGGTGGTAAGTGGGTATGAACTTACTGAAGGGCATTCGACAGTGAGGCTGGTGGCGAAGGAGATCCACCACCTCCTTCCCAAACTGTTTAGTACGCTCCATTTCCTCCACAGTACGCTCTGGCAAATAAGGAATTCAGTGAATAAAACCCCAACTTATCTGTTTTCTTTATTATTTACTTAAACTGTAGGTTTAAGATTGAAGATTTGAATTGAACAATATGTTTTGTATATATTTGACAAAAACATAAATGTTTGCCTTAGACAAAAGTAAATGGCATAAAACCCACTTAAAATTACATTATGTTAATTATCAGTTTCTTCAGAGATTTGGGAACACCACTATGCACGACTTGACAATGATGTACAAAGGGTCACACCAGTAATCAAGAAAAGCACTTATTTTAAAGGAAATTTTCACTGTAAATTTGAAGGTAAACATAGCTTCTACAGGTAAACTAGTCCCCTGTTTAACTAGGGGTACAATCAGCATTTAAAATTCACATTCCACTTGCAAATTTGTGTTTTTAACAAACTATGTAAACTGACCTCTCTTAGGAACAGAGATGACCGTGTCCGTGGCCTGGTGTGTGATTGTGATGGTGGTGTCAGGGATCTCTGCCAGCAGGTCCATCAGGTCACAGATACCGTAGTCAATGACCCTCCAGTTTCTGGAGAAGCACCTAATACACAAGTATAATAAAGAATAAGAAATTCTTATACTGATTCAAAGTATAAGAATATTATACACATCCACAACACTAATGATCTAAACTCTTCTTAGGCAACTATTTGTGAGGAAATTCAGAGACAAAGCCACAGGAAAATCTCTAGCATTTATGGAAATTAAATTAAAACCTCTACAAAACACAAAGGCAATGTTAAAACTTCAAGTAATATTTACTGACCAATGGTAAGCTTGCATGAAGTCCTTGATTGCCACTTGTTTGCTGGCTTGAAATTTAAGTAGTTTCAGCAGGTCTTGGGTGAAGCGCTTCACTTGAGCTCGGTGGGTCAGAGTCAGTAAACGCTTGGTACCCATACCCAAGATCTGTGGGCAAAGAAAAAAAAAATGCAACAATGGCAAACGGAATCAAATTAATATACACTTAGAAAGCGTTATCATGGGTGATCCTCATTACAAATACCTGCAGGACATGTGGCACGGCTTCCAGCAGCTCCAGCAGCTTAGAGAAGCCATAGTCAGAGACGCGGCACTGCTTGGCAAAGTGGTGGTGATACAAGGGTATGAATTTGCTGATTGGCATGATGCAAGATGGCTGACTCTTCAGGAGGTCAATAATCTCTCGACTGAACTGGATGAGTTGTGGGTTGCCAACTGGACTTTTGCAGCGTTGAATCCATGGCTCTGCATGAAAACAAAAACACATTAACAGGTTTATCTGAATGGTACTATGTTGGTGCAGCACTGCTTAAAATTAAGCAATTTGCATTCGCATTAACAAATAATGTCCAATTAAAGGCCAAGATTTTTGAATGTTCCTACCAGAGTTTGGTGCTGGTGGTTTATTGTGGACCCACTTTATGACTTTGAAGCCGTTCTGAGCTGTGACTATAGTGATACTGGGAACACAAGTGATGAGGTGCTCCAGAGGAACACCACCCTCCAGTGTCTCGTTACCAAGGTGCAAAGGGCTGAATTTTGCAGCATAGCAGTCTGGAAAACTGAATGGAAAATACAAAGTATGATTGATTTATATAATGTGTAAAAAACAGTCTTTGTTCGATATAAACAGCTGATACGTGTATGAACACGCTGGTTTTTACCTGAGTAGTGGAAGGGTGCCGTCATGTGACTGCAACAGACTGTGGACTTCAGAGGCTAAAGTGCTCAGCGACATCACAACAAATGGGATTTTATAGGAGTCTGGGTCAAAGTCGGCCTCACTAAAACAAAACAAACAAAACAAACAAAAAAAAAGAACCATCACACAATCAGTGACGAAAATGATGAGTAAGGCCTGATAACCTGACCGTGAACAATATATGTAACATTTTAACAGTTTGATACCTGAAATCCTGCTGTGCATAGTGTTGTCTGCAGACAGGTTCATGGTACTCCAGCTCCTCGAATACCACAGGGCTCCCACTGGCTGAGGAAGAGCCCTCCTGCGACTGAGAAGATCCCAGTGGACTTTGGCGTATTTGGCTGTTGGGTAGAAGGCACACAAGCCTTGAGCCGCCCTGTTCTCGCACTGCGACCACCTCTGGTAGCTTGTACAGATCACCAACCGCAAGCTTACGGGAATATCTGGAGAGGACAGGGGGGGAATATAATAGTTAACAGAACAGAGTAGGCAGAAAGTACCTTACGCGAGTAAAGTTGTTCAAGTTTAAAACCATGACTTGAGTTGGTTACTGACTTTTTCTCATAGATTTCAGTGAACTTGAATAGAGGAAGGCAGTTGGCAGGCGCATCTTGAAGAATGCAGATGATCTCTGTGCTGTAAATTGACAAAGGTTAAGGTTACTAACAGAGTTCAAAGGCAAAAAGTTAGAAAAAGTATGAATTTGTGGTCTTAAAATTTCAAGCTAAGTTTAACACATTCTAAATCTCGAGCGCAACTTATAATATAAATTGTACCTGAGAAAGGCCAGAGTTTTGCTGCTGCTACCAGTGATCAGAGACACTTGAATGCGTTTGCCTCCAATCTTGTAGCGATGCAGGCCACTGACAGCCCCGATGGCCTGCTGCAAGGACAACATCTGAATTGTGGCCTTCAGCTGATAGTCAGTGTGAGGACTGAGCTCCACAGATTTCACCTATATAAAACCAGTCACACCGTGAGGAGATGTGTCTTTAGACTCAAATGTGAAGAGAATACAGGCATAATCTGTATATGTCACTGGAGTAAGCCTTACCCGTCCATATCGGGAGAACGTGTCATACAGTGTCTGTTGCAGATCCTTGCGAGACATTCGGTAGTCGAGGTTGGCCACCTGGACCTCTGCCCCCTCTGAGAAAGGCTCAGGAGTACCTTCAGGACAAGGGCTGCGAGGGGTTGCAAGCAGAGGCGAGGAGCGGCTGGACAGGCAGGGGGACGCACTCCTTTTGTTGGAAAAGGGGAAGACACGTTAAAAACATGACTATTGACTATTAGCTGACTATCAGCTAGCAATGCATTAAACATAAAAATGGGCTGGGTGATTTGTATGCAGCATTAGCACCTGGAGGACCAAGAGCCCTGAGACAAGACAAGGGGACTGAAGCTCCTGTGCAGGTTCAGCTGGCTGAAGGCTGACGGTGTGCTGATCTGAAACTCCCCTGAGCTTCTGTCCTCTTGTTCTACAGAAGATTCAGTCACACTCCGAGGATTAGAGCCCTCTCTTCTACAAAGAAAGATCAAAAGAAGACAGGGACAATAAGCATGAGTTCAAAATGCTTTCACATCTCTTGCTGACTTCATTATTTTTTTTTAGTGGGAGTAAATAACTATCCAACAAAAACACATTTGAGCTTATTTGGCTTGAGAATAAGAAAACAGAAGATTTACCAGCTCCAACAAGCAGATACTCTCAAAGCTTTTGTAAGGCATTTGCACGTTTTACAAAATGTAAAGACCTATGGAGCCAGTTATCCAAAGAGTTTATCTTGTTATAAAATAGTTAGATTTTTAGTTCCTTTCTCTGAGTGTACCTCCTCCTGTACATGGATTCTCCCGTGAGGCCAGGCTTGGACAGCTGCTCCAGTGTTCCCGTTTCACCATTACTGTGCGGAGACGAGGAAGCAGGCCGTCCTTTCTCCAGATGGTGAAAGCCCATTCTGGGCTTGACCTCCAAACTACCCAGCTCCTGAAACAAGCAGATGATAATATTGTAATAATATTGTAAATGCTGACCAGCTGGATACTGTTTCTGTCTTTGTGTGCATGCATGTGTGTAGAGACGGTGCAATGGTCAGGCAATTAGTTAGATTTGTTAGAGCATATGAAAGCAAGCTGATTAGAAAAAGTCATACACGGGCATAAACTGATGTTATGAGGTTAACTGGGGATGAACATTGAAAAATCAATTAGGTGACTGGGAAAGAGACAGAATAATTTCGGAATTTATTTTCTAATTGTATTTTAATGGCCAGGAATAACTTGTGGAAGCTAGAGTTTGTTTAACCTGAGTGTATTGTGCAAAACACTGAATAATACAGGAAATTCTGCTGTGATTTAACAGTATGATGAAGGTAATACTGAGACAGCTTTGCAATGTTTGTGTTAGTTACTTGTCCTCACACAGCGAGTGCCACTGGAATTTACATCTGAATGCTTTTACTTCTAGGACCTATGATAAAAGAATACAGCAGTAGTTTTTGTGTTTGTTGTCATGTGTATCTTAATCTGAATAGAAACCGCTTTTTTTGCTTTAATAATCTCGCTGATTGCGCATTTTTCACCAATTTTGGAGCAAAATGAGATTAACTTCAAATTGGAATGTCCCTTTACCATCTATCTACAAAGAAAGTTTAAAATGCCCATCCCTAGTTTTAGCTACTTGAGTCAGTTTTCCACCATATTTTGTTTGATTACAATCAAGCACGAAAACCACAAGCCAAGTCAGCCACCAGAGGTCAGTTTTATCATGGAGAAAACCAGAATGGGCCACATTCTACAGCAAAATAATTCAAGGCATGGAGCAGACAGACAAAACACACAAACTGGCTACTCACAAAGAAGAAGTATATCAGCTCTGATACACTGGGCAAAACACAGACAAAAAGCACAAAGCTATTCGCTAATTCATGCATTAATATGATGAATGGCCAATGAACATGCAGGACAATGAAGCACTAGCAACAAATAATGCATGCTATATGATAGCGCAGGCAGACAAATGAAGATAAGCGAACAGTTACAAGCTGTTAGTCAAAGCAGCAATAAGAAGGTCACTGGGGGGAGGAGAAGCTACTGCAACATAGCAGCCCAGACAAGGACAGAGGGCAATGGAGGTTGAGGGGAAGCAGGCACAGATGAGTCTGCTGACCTGATGGGGCTTTGCTGGAGCACCACCGGGAGGCCCACTGCACCCCCTCCTGGGACTGTAGGGCCTTTCAGGCACTGGGCCAGGGGTGTAGCAGGGGCGGGTGGCTCGCCGTGGCCTCCTGGGTGACCTGGGCTTCTCCAGGGGTAGAAAAGAGAAGGAGGATATATATGGGGGAGGGCCGAACATTGAATCCTGGGTGTGATAGGTCTGGGGCAGAGGCTGAGGCTGAGGCAAGTGATGGGGCTGAGACTGAAGCTCAGGCTCAGGACTTGCATCGTCTCTGGGCCGCGGGGAGAAGGAGAGGCTGATTCGGCGGCCAAACACATCCTCATTTTCCATTCTCTTGCGGGCACGTGCAGCTGCCTCAGGGCTGCCAAAACGGAGGACTGCTGTGCCCTGGGACATGCCCAGCACCTTGCCGCCACAGTTGTCTGACAGGCGGCGGAGCCTGAGCTTCACAGCGTTTCGCAGGCTCTTGTCACAGATGACAGGGAGGTTGTGCACATAGAGGAGGTTGAAACTGGGCTGAGGGAGGGGAGGAAGAGACACCGTGCCCGTCTGGTTTGTATAATTTACACTTTAAACTGAAGCAGTTTTTGTTCTACTTGAGAAACAAGCTAGAGAATGGCTAACAGTGGTACAGAATAGTGAAAACTTTCAATGATCCTTAAAAGAAAGAAACAATACAACATCAAATTCACATTTCATCTGCCTCACTCTCTGCCTTCTAGTTAGGTCCATACTGAAATGAGATTCTCCTTGGTTACTTTGACCAGCACCTACTTACCTCATTTAACAGTAGTTTTAAAAAGTATTTTTTAAGCCCTAACGTAGTATTTGAGGCCTACCTGTGCTTTGACAAGCATACGTGGTGGAAGATCAGCTGTGATCTCCTGAAAGGCCACGTGGCGGTGAGCGTGTTGCAGCAGGGCTGAAGATGTGTGGTTGCCATGCACCAAAATCACCTGGAAACCATGGCGATGACGCAAGTCGCTTAACTCACTTGCAAAATTCACATCCGCTGGAAATGAAAAGACAACACCATTTATTCACAAATGTATTTATGGTAACATGGCTGTAGCTGAGTGCAGTTAATCTCAAGTGAACTCACAGGATACTAGCACAACAGTCGCAGGTGCAGTGTGGGTCTCAGCAAAGCGTCGAAGGCTCTGGCGAAGCTTGTCATCTGCAGCGTTTTTGGCTGTGGCATTGATATGTGCAACAGTAACCTGTTAAAACAAAGGTATATTTATTAAGCATCAGAATTATTTCCCCATTTCTCAGCTTTTTTTTTTTGTTTTCTTAGTAGTGTATTACTAGACATATGTAATTTTAAGAATTAACAGTGTCTGATTTGTTAAAAACATTTACTGGCACCATTAACGTCAGAATTCCACTGTGCTTTTCCAAAAACCCCCAATCCCCAGTATCTCACTTTGTACAAAATAATATGGAATACTGTGAACATGCCATGTCAACCATTCAGGCTAAATAATCTTGATTTTTAAGCTCCACAAGACAACAACTATCTAGCGGTCAATAACTACTTATAGTGTAAACAGAAATCTTTTTTTAATAGCATAACTACAAAAACTTTTCCAAGATTTATTGCTTTATCATTTTTATTGCAGATACCTGGCAGTTGTTGAGCTCTTGGATTACAGCTTTACTCTCCTTGCTGATATCACAAACGCAAATGAATTCTGCCTCACGATGGCCCTGGAAAAAACGGCTGCGAATACGCTGGACCACAGCTCCAGCTGAGCGTCCACTGGGCACACTGCAGTTCTCAATGTCCCAAAAGACACCCACTGGAGGGATGTTCTCAGGTCCACTAGTCTCCGGAGAACCTAACAAACAATAATTATAAACACTTAGATTTTAGGCATCTTAGCTTAGATTAAGAAACTGATTTCATTGTTATTGCCACTCTGACAGGAAACTCCTACATGCAGGAACACAGAAATGTATCACAGAATCCACAAACCATATTTATGGCCAGTCTTGCCAAGGCTGGTGGATGACATGAGCACCATGCCATCAGAAGAGGTGCCACAGCCATTACAAACGGGGATAGGGATAGGAGCAGACTGAGGAGCAGGAACATTGGGCCACACCTTGTCCAACTCTGAAGTCAGACCATTCACAGGCTGCAAATAGGTACAATTTCAAAGAATTGTCAGGGAAAACAGAATTTAAAATGATAGCAACAGCAAATAGCACTATGCAAAATTACAAAAGTAAGTTAAAAGGTACTGCTTTTTGTAGCAACACAAACAATAAATTTTAATTTACATTAATTTGGTCATCAGTTTATTTAGAACAGTGACCTACAGCTTCATGATACATAAATATAAAAGAAAGCCACAGTGAATAAGGAGAACTTCACCAACCTTTAACAAGCACTCCTGGCAGTAGTGTGCCCCCTTCACACAAACCGTGCGTTCTACATTTAGGTGCATAGGATTAGAGCAGAAGTGTGCTGAGGTGGTTGTAGTAGTAATGGTGGTGGTGGTTGGGTGATCACCAAGTATACTTCTCTGGGATCTTCTGGCTGATGGGCTGCAGTCCACACCACAGGTGTAAAAGCCCGAAGAGGTCAGGCAAGAGCCATGCAAGGGAGCAGATAGAGAGGAAACAGAGGGGAGAGAGGAAGCCGGAGGTGCGGAAGAGGGAAACAGGCTGGGTTGACTGCATGGAAGAGATACAGCTGGGTAGGTGTGAAGAAGCCCTGAGCAGCAAGGGAGGTAAGGGTGTGATGAAAGAGGCTGAGAGGTAGCGACAGAAGACGGCAGCTGAGGTTTGCAACTAAAATTGAGCAAAGGATCAAAAACTTCACCTCTATTGCCACAGCTATGTTTATACTGATGAACAGATGAGGCTACGGAGCATGGCCCGGACCTGCTAGTACTGCTGCTACTGATGGGCGCTCCCAGAGACCCCGGGGCCATATAAAGTGAGACAACGCCAGCAACGCGACTACTGCCACGTAATAACCCATAGCCATCTGTGCTGCAATAGTCACAGCGGGTGCAAATGCTTACTTTGGGGCTAGCCCCTTCTTGCTGCTGCTGTGGTGGTGGCTGTTGTTGTTGTTGGTGGTGGTGGTGAGAGTCTTGTGTAAGCTGATGAGGCGGCAAGCAGGGAGGAGGCAAAGGGAGAGGGGCCAGTGAGAAGGGCTGGGTTAATTGGGAGGAGGAAGTATGGTGTGGAGGAGGTGGGGGGACATCTTTAAGTTCCAGCACAGGCTTTCTGTTGTCCATGTAATTGTTCTGGAATTAAAAAAATAAATAAAATAAAACAGCAAATAACTTTGTTAGTTTTGAAGATCATTCAGCTTTTACTGTCCTGAAGAGGCATCAAATAACAGAACATTAAAGCAGAGGTTTAGCGGTAAGCTACAAATGTTGTTAAGAAAGGACATGTTGCCACAGCTAACTAGTTAGACTGCAATGTCGCCTAAGGAATATCAATAAAGCTACCCACCCATCCATTCATCTAAACAGGTGCACTTATTCATTCTTCATGAATGATATCGTCAGCTTATGTTTTTACTCCGATAATCTGCACATCTACTAAAATGTACTTCTTTATTGTAAAGAAAACATTTAAAATTTGTTCAGAAAAGTCAAATATGTAGACAACTGCATCCACGTAGCAACAAACTGTTAATCTTATGAGCTGCATACAACTTAAACATAAGAGTGTACCAAAAGAGACGGATAAAACTGAAATATTTTCCTTTTAACTTGAGATTTAGAATACAAATTGATTCAACGTCCTCAACTCTGTTAACATGTCTCTGTATGGTCTCCTGGACTGTTCCCAGACAAATACCTACTTCTTTATCTGTCTGATGAGGGGCAGTTGTCTCATTTGTGGAGAAGCAGTCTTTGAGTTTCCATAGCAGGGTTGAGGCCTCTGTTTTGGGGTGACTGAGCCATGGAAAGGGTCTAGAGCTGCATATGGATCTCTCCTTTCCCAGTTCTTCCATCATACAAAGCCCAGAGGTCTTTCACCATACTTTCATCTCTCTTCACTCTCATGCTTCCCTTGCAGGAGAAACGAAAGTTATAAAGTGTCAATTTCGGTTACCTAACAGAAAAGGGCACCGACTGTGTTTAAAGTTCTCACTGACTCAATCATGATAGGCAGGTGTGGTAGTTAAAGAGCCTTTGTCACGGAACAGCGTGGTTTCGGTTTAAATCAACAAAAGGGGCATTTCTATGTAGAAAACGTTAACCAACTTACTGATTTACGTTGCTATTCTGAAGCTAATGCCAGAGTTATGTTTAATAAACTGAACCATCCAAACTAACCCATCAGAGGATACGTTAGCTCCAAGCTAGCTAACGTTATCGTCGTTTGAATGACCCGCTGTTATGTCGGAATTGGCGTGTTAAGCTAACTAGCTCGGCTGCTACCTGAAATTAGCCATTTAACAAACTTAACTGTTTGGATGTAGCTATTTAGGCTAACGGACACAATCACTTAGCTCGTTTTATACACATAGACGTAGCTGCTCACACTCGCTGCCGTTCATTAATATTAAGGTAAAAATCGACATTGTTTTGTAACGGCGCGCAAATCACACCTAGTTCTTTAGCAAACAAACTACCTGAGAAGATCTCGTCTTTCACATCTTCCTCAAAGGACCGTTCCTCTCTATCTGTCGCCCTAGAAACGCGCACCTTTTTGTAACCTACTTCTGCCGCAAAGTAGGCGCAGCTGTCGTAAATGTTATTGTTGTGAAAATGGATCCTAACAATACAATGGAACTGATAGGTTGAGTAGGTCTATTGATAGGTCTATTATAACACTAGTATTTATACAACCTGTCATTTCTTTTGTAACATACCAAATTGATTTTATTAAAGTTTTAAGTTTTGCGTTTTATAGTTTTATTTGTGTACTTTCTACTTTTATCAATCATTCTGTGTGCTTATTGTATTTTAATTGTATTGTATTTTTGTTTTTATTGACAAGCACTTTGTAACATTTGTTTTGAAAAATGCTCTATAAATACATTTTTCTCTGAAATGCTACTTTTCTTGTGACCTTTTTTGTGTTGGACAGTAACTTACTACATTTACTCAACTACAGTACATGTATGGAGTCCATATTATGCTGCTACTCCACAACACAAAGCAGGGACCCCTGGAGGTGTTTTTTTTTTTAGAAAAAAAAATGTTTTAACAGTTGCTACTGTATGCTAAGCATCCCTGCTGGTATGACATCATTGTTATGGAATTTAAATATCAATGGTAATAAAGGAAAGTTATAACTTCTGTCCTAAGTCCCCTAAACTGTAAATTGATTTGAGAGGGGAAAAGAATCTGTATATTTAAGCAGTTAAAATCAAAACAACATCAAAATTTTATTGGTATTGTCCATCAATAATTTTCAATACCTGAGCCTTTCTAAAGTTAGATTTTGAATGAATGATGTACAATATCATCTAATACAGTAACACCATAGCCAACTAACAGGAAAAAAATACATGTACAAAAGGCTAACTAGCTAACTTTATGTTAAGCTACTAACATTTTGCTATATTAGCTTGCTGCAGCACAAGCTGGCATATATTCTTTGCTACTTTATGCTAATCATCCCCGTGAATATGACATTATTTTTATGGCATGAATTTCAATAATAATGATACTGAAGTGAAGTTATATTTTTTGTCCTCGGTCCCTAAATTGTTAATTAATTGGCGATTAACCATTTAAAAAGACAATACAATATAATCTTAAACAGTAATATAATAGCAACCAACATAACAAAAATCTTTGATTGAATTTCCCTTCTGGGATAAATAAAGTATTTTTCATTTCATTTCATTCATTTCATCTGAACATCCCTGATATGGCATTAATTTTATGGCGTGAAGTTCTAACTTTTGTCTTAGGTCCCTTAATTGTTAATTAGTTAGGGATTAACAGTTTAAAAAGGAAAAAAAAAAAACATAAAAAACTGATCCAAGTGAATTATATATATATATATATATATATGGTACATATACAGTGTATTATATGGATATTGTTGTCGACTCGGTGCACTAATAACAGAACAACAGTGTCCCCCAGCGGCTGGCAGGCAGCCAGACCTCCACCGGTGATGTCTGGGGCTCAGTAACGGGACAGCAGGTTCAACCATATCAGTCCATCTGCTGGATAGAGATCGTAAACAATAGTTTCGCTTCGTGTATTATACATTATTGTCATTTCTCTACCTCGGGAGGCCTCTCATTCGCTTAAACCTCCGACCTGTCTGCTAACTGAAAACAAGCTGACTCCTCCATCCATTCCTCAGCACCGGCTTTTTGTTGTTGTCGGTCATGGCGATCGCCCACGTCGCCACAGAGTACGTGTTCTCCGACTTTCTGCTAAAGGACCCCACGGAGAAGAAGTACAAAGGGGTGCGTCTGGAACTGGCCGTGGACAAAATAGTCACGATCCTGGCGGTGGGGCTGCCTTTGTTTCTCATCTCGCTCGCTTTCGCCCAGGAGGTCTCAGTAGGTGAGTAGCTGGATGTGACAGCTTCATCCTCTGATGTCTATCATGTGCAGTAATGCAGGAACGTCTGTGCACAATTGATTCTCTCTAATATACAACAAGACTCACATGCACAGGTGGGTGACGCAGTGAGATGTTATTAGGCAGAAACACAAAGGTGAGGAGAAGGTGTGGTCTCCACCCTGCTGCATCTGTCCTGTCACACCCACACTGGGAGAAATTTGTAAAAATAAATAAATAAATAAATAAATAAAATAAAAATGCAGAAAATCTGGCAGCAAGGGTAGAAAAGAGAAAATTAAGTAGAAAATTGTGAAATTAAAATGCTGGTCTTTTTTGGACAAACTGAACAGATTCGGCCTGTTTTATTTAATGTTATATGTTAGTATTTTTTATTTACAGTCAGTGTGTAAATTAGTAGCTATTTTCTTTTCATTTTATTAGATATTATCGGTAATATAGCAATACAGGAAAAAAAATCAGAAAAAGAACATACTTTTTTTTTTGCCATTTTTAATTCCTAATGTAATATACCAATACAGGAAAAAACTGTAAAGTAACAGAAATATTAAATAATAATCCTTAATACACATATTTATTTCTTTTAAATACCAGAAATTATCTGTAAAATATATATATATTTTTAAATACAGTCAATATGTAAATTTGTATTTTTCCAGTGATTTTACAGGATATTTTCTGTAATGTAACTTAGTGTGATTTTTTGTGCTGATATTAATACTGTCATTTTATGATCAAACGTAAATGAAGAAATGACTGCCTCTTTTTTTTTTTTTTTTAGAGCAAATGTGTTTGATGTGGACATAATGTACAATTTTGGCCTGTTTTTATGGTTAACATCTAAATTCATACCATATTTCTGTGATTTTACTATTATTGTGATTTAACAAAACAGGGACAATCTATAACATAATCTCCTGCTGCTGATGATAATGATGGAAACTTAGGCAGCACATAGAAGAAGCTTCACACACTGACAGTCCTCTACTTAGTGTGAACAGAAAATGTCGCTCCATTAGCATTTCAACGAATCTACATAATCCTCTTAGGGTCATAATGCACACAGTCTGTTAGTGTAGCTTTTATCTTCAGAGCACAGTCCCGCTAATGAACCAAGACACTTGAGAGATGGATGGATCCATTACTCTGCAAGCCCTAAGTGAACTGCTATTGTGCTTTTAAGACTGAACACATTGTGGATGAAACCCAGCATTGATTTCCACTAATAAACATAGTGCAGCAGTCACAAAAGATGAGATGACAGGAAAAAATGGTTAAATTAGAGGAATATGAGACTTGGAATGGCCTTTTTCACAACAGATTTCTTTCAGTTGTTATACTGGATAAAGCACAAGTTTTACTACCAACAACAGTAGCCAGGACAGTGTGACAGTCACTTATTTACGCTTTTGCTTTGTCAAGAATGCCTTTGTACAAAACGGGGTTTCATTAATTAGACATGCACCAGACAGTTTAGAAAAATGGGCTGAAGATCTGAATGACTTTGGCAACTCTATTCTGCCTGGTTTTTTTTGCTGCGCTTTTGGGGCTATTCTCTCTGAGCTGTGAATATCTGCAACAGGTATTTTTAGCCACTGTCATGCGAGAAATTATAGTAATGCTAATATTAAGGTGTTTTTTAAAAGATAGAAGTTAAAACTGCTACTTTGAGGCAACCACAATGAGTTAGGGGGTGAAGTAGATGTATTTAAAGTGTACTTACTTTATATAAACTGACACTAGTACATCAGATATAACTGAGAGTTGATGAAGTTTATGCCATAATTGAAAAACACAGACATAGCCATTTATCATTCTGTAATCTTATACCATGACAGCCCCTGTACTGCCAAAATATGATCTGTTGAATATCTGGGTCATTTGTCAATTGCACATGCCTCATTAAAATCCTTTCTTACTCCCACCACAATAAGAGATAATTACTGACACAAAGTATGCTGAAAACACTGAACAAATTAGGCCATGACTGCAGAAGAAGGAAGGTTTGCACTGTTTGTTTTTTTCTTTCTATTTGCTTAATAAACAAATTACTTGTCAGCTCTGATTCATCATTTTCCTCATCCAGGCACCCAGATCAGCTGCTTCGCTCCCACTACTTTCACCATGAGACAGGCTGCATATGTGGACTCTTTCTGTTGGGCAGCAGTGCAGCAACAGACTGACAGTTCACCAATGTGGCTACACAAGGTAAAGTACAAGCTTCAAGGAGGTTCACCCATTCTGAATGATGATGAGGTGGTGGGATGGTTGTACCAGTAAATGCATGAAACCCTCCAAAAGGCCGAAAATTGCAGCACAGGAATTGGAAAAGATGGTGCACAATAACATTAATACTCTGAACCCCAAGCAGTTTCTGGATTTTTTTTTCTTTCTTTTTTAAAATGTTTTTTTTTACTCCCTTTGACATTTATAGTCACTGTGGGCTCATTTTTCACAGCACTATAAAGTCCTGCAGCTCTACGGAAACACCACAGCCATGACTAGAAGTCGAGACAACTCCCAAATGTCTTCTTTACAGTGTGGCACATTTGTAGTGCCATAAATCATGAAACAGAAAAAACAAAAGTTGACATCACAGATGAGTAGATGAATGACCAGTTGGCTCTGACATATGTTGTAGTTTTGGCCTTTTTCAAAAAGATATACCTATCACCCTATCGGCTGGTTTTTGGTTCAACAGGTCAAAATAAAGGAAGATCAAAGCTACTGGAAATGTATAAGATTTGGGTTGAAACTGATAATTATTTTCATTATTGATTAATCTGCAGGTTATTTTTGGCGTGTTTTGCTGGTTTTGCTTTGAACATTATTTACTCGAGCAATTTATGTTCATAGGCTGTCATTTCTGGCATGAGCTTAAACCACTCTGTAAACTCTGGCTTTTGTGGGCTCTTCCAGTTGAGTAGAATAAGTCTGGCTGCTCTTGCAAACAGGTCTGTCTTGAAAATAGACCCCGTGTCTCAATGAGTTTACCTGTATAAATTAAATAAATAAATAAATAAATAAAACTTGTTACTGTTAGTCTGAACTGTGCTTTAGCACCTTCTAGTGCCAAGACGGATTTATTCCCTATAACAGAGATAAAGGTAGGGATTCTGGTAGAGGTATGAGACACCTTTGAGGTTTTTTTAATATTGATAAAGGTGTCAAATCTTCACACTATCTTTTTTCCTCCAAATGACATAAATGATTAATGAGCAGACAATGCACCTGTGTTCAAAATATACATCACAAAAATCTAGAATTCTTTAGAAAGTCTTGTTACGATCCAGTCTCTAGGGCCAGCTGGATGCAACAACAACAACAACAACAACAGCAACAACAACAACAACAACAACAACAACAACAACAACAACAACAACAACAACAACAACAAAACATGTGTTTGGTTGAGGTAAAGCAATTTGTTACTTAGTAATGTAATGACCACAAAAAAACTGTGATAATACAAAGAAAATTGGTGGATGTTGCTAAAACCAATGAACCAAATAAAACCAAACTTAAATCCAATAGCATCATAAATAATAGTCAGGAAATGATTTGGTTAAAGGGAGACACTCTTTCCAGCGATTTTAATCCAGAACTCTGAACATAACCTGCTCCCGACCAGGTTAGCTGCACAGCATAAGTTACCATGAAGATCTAGCCTGGTTAAAAGAGAGCCACCTTCATGATACTGAAAACTCTGGCTTTAAGCTCAACATACCTTGCTAAATCTCGCTTCGTAGTATAGCCCTCAGGTCTGGAGCTCCAGGCTAATCTGCTGCAATGGCAGGCAGTTGGGTCTGGAACAGGCTCTCCAGACAGCTACACCAGAGTTCATGCCGCTCCTCTCCCTGTACAGAGCTCACAAGGGATCCACCACAATACAAGATGGCACCAACACCAGGGGCCGTAACAGTCTTAATACTGTTAAGTCTTGTGGGAGGCGACTTCTTGTCCTGCAGTTTTTAGCAAGATATGCACATGGACCTATCATAAGTTAAATACTGCCAAAAAAAATACTATAAATGTAATACTTAACATCCTCAAGGACATCTGACCATTCATATAGCCTTGAAAATGCCTAAAAATGGTTACTTCCTAAAAGTATATTAAAGTGAATAATGAAAGTGAAGTTTCCATCTTCCATTTTTGACAATTTTTTTGTTGTTGTTTTTTGCCTTTCTCTGACCCCCTAAGTTCTTTCCGTACATCCTGCTCTCACTGGCCATCCTTCTGTACATCCCGGCCTTGTTGTGGAGATTTACAGCAGCTCCGCACATCTCCTCTGACCTCAGCTTCATCATGGAGGAGCTGGACCGCTTCTATAATCGCGCCATCAGACTGGCCAAGAACCTGGCTTCCTTAGATAGCAGTGATTCACATGAGGACACTCAGAGGTTTGTTATGACCCGTTGTACTCACTAATATACTCTTGTACTTTTCAGAAGGAGATGTTAATGCTGTGACCATAACACATTTATTTTAGAAGTAGTTTTGTTATTGCATTAAATAGTAGTAAAAGCTTTTCTGAACTGGGAACAACTGGGAAACACTACAAACACCACAGCAACATGAAGCCATCAGTTTATCTCCCTCCTATTTGAAGCTCGTTAGTATAGTGGCTTTTTCAGCTGAAAACAGCTTCTTGTTGCATCTTCAACTGGACATTTTTAGTCATTGGTGTTCCCCAGTGGTAGCAATAAAGAAGATATTGTATCAGGCAGCACTGCCCTCCTGCTGGACACACAGATCAGTAGGAAATTAGTTTGGAAAACCCAGAGCTAAAGGTTTTGTTTGAAAAGAACAAAACAGCTTTCAGAAAAGAAGTGATAAGATATGATGTGTTTACTTTGAAAATCTACATGCTATAACACTTAGCATTTGTGTAGTTTAATTCAAAGCTGTTCTTTCTGCTTTTAGTTGTGTTTCCATCACATAATTATGCCTGTCATTTTTCTGGTACATGATATAGGATATATATAAAAAGCTTGAATTAATTTTCTCCTGCCTATTCAATCAATCAATCAGACCCTATCTGTACAGCCCTTTTTTTTTATACACATGAAATGTAACATCCCCATGTGCCTGTTGAAGTTTGCTGTAGTGGGTGTTTATTAGTATTCCGGTATACGGTGGGCTCACCAACACAGAGCATGAGTCTGTGAAGGTGACCCGACCCTGAACATCTGCAGAGTCACACATTTATACTGTAAGTCAGAGGGTAGGGAGGGCCGGTATGTAAATACAGAAGTGAATAGAGGTAAATTAACATTCAGTTGCTTATCAAATGACCAGAGGTAAGGGGGGACAATGAACCACAGGTGGTGGAATCGGAGTCTGGTGACCAGACAGGTAGTGGAGTCGGGGTTCTGATAGCATACAGTTGCTAATCAAATGGCAGGAAGTAAGGGGACAGTGAACAACAGGGGATGGAATCGGGGGTCTGTGACAGGAGGTGAGAAAACACATGACAAAAGGTGATAGGAAAACACATGCAACAGGGGGTGGAATCAGTCTGTGACCATCAAAATGAAAGAAAATGACTTTCTTCATCATGCCTTTTTCTGCAACAGTGCTCTGGACCTGGCTGAGGGCTGCTTTAAATACCCTTTAGTGGAACAGTATCTGAAGACTAAGCGCTTCAGTCACAGCCTCTTGGTCAAGTACCTGGCGTGCAGGGTTCTCACACTGCTCATCCTCCTGCTGGCCTGCCTCTACCTCGGCTACTACATTCTGCTGGCTTCCCTCACCGATGAGTTTCCGTGTGACCTGAGGACAGGCGTGCTGAAGAACGACAGCCACGTGCCACCTGCTATTCAGTGTAAGCTTGTAGCAGTGGGCGTCTTCAGGCTGCTCAGCTACATCAACCTGGGAGTGTACATGCTCCTCGCTCCATTGGTGGTGTTCGCTGCTCTCAGACCAGCACGGCAGAGCTCCACCTTCCTCCGACCTTATGAGATGCTGCCTGGATTTGGTGCTTTGAGTGTGGTCACGCCCATCTACAACGACCTCAGTATCTATCTGCTGTTCTTGCGGGAGAACCTGAGCGAACTCAAGTCATACAAGTGTCTGCAGGTGGGTCTCAACACAGATGCACCATTCACATGTTTTTGCTCTTGCTTCTGCTTTGCAAACTTAAGTGAGTTTTCTCATTACCAGGTACTTGAGTTGTTACAAGAGGCTGGTGATGAGGGGTTTGACACCATGTGCCTGCTGCGAACTCTGGGTCAGGTGAAAACTGATGTGTTAGACAGCAAGAAGTCGTGCTCACGCGACGACTGCAACAAAATGAAAAAGGCTGAAGAATAATCACTCTGAGGTAAAGAGAAACGTTTGGTCTCTGTGTAACTTTAGTGAGTTAAATGTGGGAGATTTAACCTGGCTCTTATTTTGTTTTCCTTCAGATCACACTGCCTTGCTTCTGAATGACTGACCTGATGAGGATAAGTCCTGCTGTAAAGGGAAAGACGAATCAGGACCAAACCCTGTGCACTTATTTTTACCTGCACTGCTCTTAGTATTTTGACCTACAGCAGTGTAATCTAAATGAAAAATACAGGTAGCCTGTATTCATTCACACAGTCTGTGGTTTGATCAATTGACAATTTACCTCTCAGGTGTCTTATTTTTCATATATCTGTTGCTGACTGCAGGTTTTGTATTATTTTTTAAAGGAAATTCCTGTAATATTCGATTTTTCTATCCCAGTTTTCTCAGGATCATAATTGCCTTCCAATCAAAGCAAGCCATGTTCTTAGGACTGAAAGCTGTGTATTAAATTAAATTTCCCAGTCCAAGAACCTACATCCTGCCCTTTATGAGAAAATGGGGGAAGTTTTGAACACTTTTTTTTTTTTAAACATGTATTCACAGTTTAGGTCTTAAAATGATGCAGTGTCCATCCAAAGTAAACTTAAAATTAACATGATTGTAAAGCATGTGCGTATTGTATAATATGTATAGTTACTAACAGCAGCATACTGTATGCAGTGTATGAGCATGTTGTCCAAAACTATTGGGCTAACAGCAACTTTTCATTTTACATAAAAGATGAATGAATATTCTTTGAGGTAATAAAATGTTCATATCATCATTGTCAGAGGGCTTTCAGGCTTTCACTGGCCGTTATACAATAAAAGAATGTTGTTGTAAGTTATACCATGATGGAGTCTTGGTTTTCATTATTAACCTCATCAACAGATATTGATACTGAAATATAGTACTTAAGATTCATATATAATATCATCATGTAAAGTAAAGCCTAAATATGTTATATTTGATGATTTCCCTTCATAAACTATTGATGGAGATAATTAAATGAAAATTCAAGGACTTGCAAAATATTGCCCACAACAAGGAAAAACCTAGAATCACCTCTGCACTGTAACATAATGCAAATAATAGTTTTATTTGCCTTAAATATAAGGTACATCAAATTATATTTCCATTGAGGCTTCATTTTGTGGTGGGGATGTCAGGTTGCATTATAAAGTGTTTCTCTCATCACATTCATAAATATCACATTGAGTGCAAAATACAACAGGTTGGTTGTTGAACGGGCCTGAAGTTAAGTTTGTTGCACCCAGCATTTTGCAGGAGTAGTCCCTCTGAGTTTAAAAAAAAAATGAACGGCTCCAAAATGAGATTGGTGTACACATTTATACACACAACACAGTGGTAACTTCATTAATTACTTATAAATAACCTGAGGCGTGGATATAGGATCGGTCAGGATGTAACAGTGAATGGCACTGTGTACTTTTCTTCAGCTTAGACAGGTGAGCTGTCACATGCACAGAATCACAGTATATCAGTTGCCATGTCACTGGACAATATTTGCAGCAGTGACATTTTTTGCACATTGATGCCCTTTTATCATTGTACCAAAATACAGTAACAGGTGGGCTAGGAAAGATTATATAAAAAAAAAGGAAAGATTTTATTGTAACATAAGTTAAAGTTTGACAAGTTATCATAATACATGGTCAGAATAGTGTGTGTGTAGGAAATCAAAAATGCACATCCATTCAGTCCTTACATTTATTGTAAAATAAGAAAAGAACCATATCAGAACGCAAATCATTACCTAACATGTTGACATAGTTTTTATCTTACCCATAGGCTACAACAGCATAGCTGAACTCCTGAAATGTAGGTATGTCTTTTGTTTTTGCTGTGCCACCCCATGATTTTCATCTGGTCACCCCTATGACAAATTTCTGGAGGCGCCCCTGTCATTGTTTTGCTTGAAAACAAGCACTGCACAGCAAGTCGATGTTGGCGGCTACAGGTTCGTCCAGTAAGCTGATTGGATAATCTTTGCCTGACGTCACCCATATTGTCCAATGAGGCGCGAGAACCGAGGCTTCGTTTGTATTTGGTTGGTGAGTCGAACGCCGTGCTAACGTAATAAGAGATTAGTTTGTGCAAGTCACAATACGTGTATTGCACAAATCCGGAACATTTCCGTCGGAATACATTCCCTTAGCTATAGCATGTTTTAATCGTCCCGTGTGTGCAGGTAGGTCTGTTCGATTTGGGATATCATTGGTTCGGGACCACATATTGTGACTTAGTCGCTTAGCTACGTACGTTAGCTTAAGTTAGCTAAAAACTTAGCCGGTGTATCTCCCAGACCACCGTTAGCCTTAAAAAGTAGCTACTGCTTTAGCTCACAGTTCTACATTTTATTAGTTGCTAGAAAAAAACACAAAACACGTCCCTGAAGGTATTACTCTCCTCAGCTTTAGTTTGCAGCCACAAATTTCACGAGGGTGGTTACTTGTTGTAGCTAACCTAGTTAGCATCTGCTAACGGTTTTGTGCTGACAATGGTAAGGTTGTGCCCTTGTGCCACAAAAGAACAGAAATAAAAGCTCAAATTTGATTTACCTCCTCGTCACCTTCTGCAGCAGACATGGTAGAGCCGACAACACACAACTTTGCATCCATAAAGGAGGAGCTGGGCTTCTGGAAGGAGCAGGCAGAGAGACACCAGCAGAGGTAACAATATAAAATACACAGCAATCAGCTATCTTAAGCTAAAATACTGCTCATCTGGTATAGCTCTTTACATGTTTTAGAGCATGGAAGCCGTTGTGGGTTGATCTGAATGGAGTTCAACATTGTTTTGTCTCCAGGGCTGAGGAGGCTCAGGAGGAGCTGCAGGAATTCCAGCAGATGAGTCGAGACTATGAAGCAGAACTGGAAACAGAACTAAAACAATGTGAGGGTCGAAACAAAGAGCTGCTGCTAGACAACAATCGACTTCGCATGGAACTGGACAATATAAAGGTAGAGCATTAATAGATCTTGGCCCCCACAGGGCTCTTCAGGCGCTGGTGTTTCATTTAATGAAAGGATGTAGATGTCACTGTGGCCTCTCTCATACAAGACATAACGCACTCAGTTAGGTTTTAGCCTACCCAAACTGAGCATATCATTGCCACTGCCACTAGGAAAATTGCTGCCTTGCTAAAGCAGCTGAGTGCTATTTTTGTTCAGTGGTCCACAGGGAAGGGAATACTAATGAAAGAAGAGCAGGATTGTGCTGAAAAAACCCTTATTTCTCAAAAGTTGTTGGGGACAAAGAGCAAGACTTTTCAAAAGATGTGTTATCTCAGCTAAAATACACAAAAATGCTTAGATCTTTCTGTAAAATATGAATTCAACTACATTGAATAATTTGCCTTGAAACCACAAAGCTGTCATTGTTAGTCTTGTGTAATTGTCTCTGTGCTGTTTGCAGGAGAAATTTGAATCCCAGCATTCCGATGCTTTGAGGCACATCTCAACCATGGAGGAAGATCTGGCAGAGACCAGAGCAGTTAGAGATCACCTGCAGAAGTATATCAGAGAGTTAGAGCAGTCCAATGATGACCTGGAGAGAACCAAAAGGTCAGCGTCTCACCAATCTCACGCTATTATTGTAAATATTTACTTTATTATCTAATGATTAAGTCGCTAGCTATTGCTTTGGTGCATGGAGACACACTCATGTAGTTAAACTAATTAATCTGCTTAAGGAATCCAATGCAGTTACATTTTATTGACTTATCCTCTCTGCTTGTTCCAGGGCTACCATCATGTCTCTGGAGGACTTTGAGCAGCGGATGAACCAGGTCATCGAGAGGAATGCCTTTCTTGAAAGCGAGCTGGATGAAAAAGAGAATCTGCTCGAGTCTGTTCAGAGGCTCAAGGACGAAGCTCGAGGTATACACACACAAATATACGCTCACTGCAGCTTCTGAAGTTTACAATAACTGCTGATTTCTCTGACTCAGTGAATTTTGATAGCTACATTAATTTAAATGCTGTTCATGTCCTGTCCATTGTTCCTTTTCATCTAATGTGTAGTTGTATTGTAGGGTACGTTTTTACATGCCTTAGCTAATAGGGAGGATTACACCAGTGTTATTTAATGATTTTAAGTGGGCTTAACCCGAGCTCATAGACAGTCATAGTTTCAGTTTGATCTACGTCCAGTATAGATTGTAATGGAAAGCAGTGGTCTACATAGATTTCCAAAAAAGCTGAATTGCAGTTGTATCTGTTTCTCCTGTTTGTGGCAGACCTTCGCCAGGAGCTGGCTGTACGACAGAAGGAGAGACGGCCATCCAGCAGCTTGGGCGCAGATCGACCAGATCTGTCGTGTCCATCAGCTGGGAATCCCTCCATCCCTGTCACACCCTCCAAACCTATCAGCTCATATGTCACACCTCCAGCATCCAGCATTCGACGAGGTAATAGAAAAACTTTGACTGCATTAACAACTACACTGATGAGTATTTCCTTCATACTAATAAAATACTCTGCGCTTACCTGCTCTTGACTGTTTTGTTTTAGGAGATGGTCTAACAGGGACACCCCTCACTACATCTGCTAGAATATCTGCTCTCAACATCGTAGGGGAGCTGCTGAGAAAAGTTGGGGTAGGAGATTTAATGATAATCAAACAACTGTTATCACTGAATAGAATCGCTTCTTATTTACATTAATGAGCTTACTTTTTTTTTTAATCCCTCCCAGAATTTGGAATCAAAATTGGCATCCTGTCGAGACTTTGTTTACGACACGTCTGTTCCCAGACCAGCACTTCCAGCTGGACCTGGTAGTTCTTCAGGTTTAGAAGCAGGTCCTGAGGTCCAAGCTACCAGCTTGAGCCCACCGCCACTTTACGACAGGTGAGGAAAAGAACAGCAGTGTAGTCTGAACTGTAACCAAAGGAAAATCTTTTGTTTTTGTAATTCAGTCACTAGTCACACAGGAGCCTGTTTTCTTGTTTGAGGAGTATCTCATTTGCATTTTACCTAACCACATGTGTAATTTATGTGTTTGATCATGTGCTATCTGATATGCTGTAGATTGTAACCAAAGACAAGTCTGTTCTCCTCTACATAGTTTCATTTACAACATTAAAGTTAGTGGTATGCAATTATAGGTAGAACCTGCTGTGTTCCTTTATTCCGTAAAGCTACCGCGTGTGTGGGCCTATTGTAAGAAAGACACTTGTAGTGATTAAAGGAATATTTACACAACTTTAATTTAAACAACTGGTAATATGGTGATGGGAATGTGAAGTGAGTCACTTACTCGAGCTATGAAACCTGACTCAGTCCACTTAGTCTTCACCCTCATTTACATACATAAATTTACAATTTTACAGGCTAATTTTTCTATAAATTTGTTTACTGAACTCTCCACTGCTTTGCCTACTGGGAGCACACTAAGGCTAGTTTTATACTTTTTTACATCTGCATGTACATCAGGGTCTAATTCGCTTGAATTTCATCATCAAAGGGCTACGTTAAGCTCTATGTGGACATTTGCGTAACCTCCAATTTTTTCTGACCATGTGGACTATTGACGTGGCCACTATGCTACCATGGCACCAACTGTGCATGTGCTGGAAAACCACAATGGGCCATTTTGATTCATAGTTTGCATGCACAGAATACGTAGACGCTAATAGACTGTGCATATATGTAACGCAGACTTGAAGCAACTAGAAAGTAGATTAACTATTCAGCAATGTATTTTATTTGTTGTTCCTCCCCCCCCCCCCCAACATGCCACAATACCATGAAGGCAAAAAATACAATAAATCACACAAAATGAGCCCAAAACTCTAAATTAATTTTAACTTCATAACTCCTGTCGGATGTCCATTACATCTCACATCTTACAGTTTCCTATTTGCTTCGAACCTTGTGCTTATACACATCTTAAGAAACACCAAGAACAGATTGACTCTTCCACATTATTACATTTTTCAGGCTGTCTTTTATCGTACATTTTCTTAAATTGCTTAATAGTTAAACTCATATTGAGATTGTTGACTATTCCACAAGTTTACCCAACAAACTGATAAACATATTCAAACTTGTTAGCAATTTGCCATGAAGACACTGCTTAACTCCACACCACCGCCTGCTCAGCTGTGATATGTACTCTGCTACATGTGCTGCAGACAGTGCTGAGACTGTTGTAATCTGTGGAGTGGGAGCCACTCTGCACTACTTTACAGCAAGCATGCTTTCTGCATTATGGCCTGTGAAAAAACATTTGCTTTTTGGTACGTATTGGACAACATACATACTGCTGCTCTTTTATCTGTGTTCGTCCACCAATAATTTTGACCGACTGATGTATTTGTTGGGCTCTACTACAAATTCGTATAATAAGAGCAACTACACAAATATTGTGTCTGCAACTGTCCACAATGTGCATCCACAAGTGAGGATAATCCAGATTAACACAGCCAGGTGGACAACACGGTGCATGAAAGTGCATTCTGGGACATGCAGTTCTCTACAGCTAATATAAACATCCTGATGATTCAGTGTTTTCACCACAGGTAGTTTTACCAATATGACTGTATGAGAAAACAAATATTGGGAATATGAATATGTAGGTTTTGTTCTTCACTGCATGTATGTGTTGTATCTTGTCTTTCAGTTTAGTGAAGCGGTTAGAGTTTGGACCAGCTCCTCCTAGAGGGGTCTCCCAGGGGGCCCAGTCTCCACAGGGAGGGGTCAAGATCTTGCTATGAGAAAAGAAGAAAATGGCGAGCCCCTTTCCCTCGACCCTCCTCACCAACCCAGTAAACTACAGCAATGGGACTGTGAACTGAGCTGTCTTTCCCCTGTCGACATGTGCCCTGCTGAACTGTTCGAACAAGAAAGCAGAGTGTGTCTGTCCATCAGCGCGTGGACTTCTGCTGCCTCAGGCTAGTATCACACCATATCACAGGAGGCAGCACTGCAGATCGTGTAAAGTCAAGGAACACAGAAACTACCACTCACATTATATCATCCATTGTATGCTGTGGTGGGTAGCAGCTAAAAAAAAACAAAAACACTTTGTGATGATGGACTGTCCGTGTCTATTGCTTTCTGTGATGGATCAAGCACAGCAGGGCTTTGGAAACATTACTGCTCCACAAAACTCATTCAGTGTAGTTTGCTACACTTCTTGCCCAATAATTTTGACCCAAATAAGGGTCTGTTATATGAATTACTGGCACGAGAAAGTGACACTGGTGTAGGGACCAAGAACCTGGAGTGTTATTGATTTAAAGATAAAGGTTCAAACAAGCAGATATTGTATAAATGACCAAGTCCGAACCAAAGCTGTGATAAATGGGAAAAACTAACACAAAAGCACTGAGTTAGGTTTTCTCTCTTTAGTAAAAAAAAGTAATTACTTATCAATGTTTTCATACTGGTTCTTTGAACTTGAAACAATCTTGCTCTGAGCAAGACAGATTGATATGATTGGTTAAAAAGATGGCAAAAATTGTTGGGTTTTTTTCTCGATATGACCCCAGCCTGAGTAAATGCCGAGAATAAATTAGTTGCTGCTGCGAATTGGTATTTTAGCCATCGCTGCCTTTTTATTACTGCTATTCCCTCTTCACTTTGTGGGCTTTGCAATGCTGTGATTCCAATAACCAACCTAATTGTGGAAAAACTAAAATAGGTTATCCATTTCTTACACCGTCAGGACATTTTGAAATGAGGGAATGCCGCTTTCCTTTGGGATAGTTTAACCGATCTCATTGGTTATTTTTTTTTTTTTCAATTCATTCTGACCCAGGTCGTCCTTCTATCACCTCTTTCCTGCCATTGCACAGACTTGTTTTATCAGACCAATTATTTTTGTTGTGCAAGGCTGATAAATGTGAAGAATAGCTATAGGTGTTCTGCCTCAGAGATAAGAGTTGTCATGCTGCAGATTTAGTGTTACCAATAACTTTTTTTTTTTTAAACTTTAGTTCAGTGTAGACTTTAGATGGGCACATGTGCACTACTGAATGTAAAGTAATACTTCTCTAATGGATCTGGGACGATGTTTCTGCCATCAGGGTTTATATGGTGGATATATAGTAAAAGCAATAATAGAGTTTAACAGGTCAAAGATAAGCACAGTTCATAGTATATTTGTGTAGGTATATAGAGCCTATATTAAATACCCTTTAACTGCCTCTTAGTGAGAAAATGTTGTGAATTGGGAAATTGAGTGATGAACAGTTTTAATGTGATATCTATGCTTTTCCCTGAAATGTTTCTGGTTAAATCCGATGTTGTCACTACTGCCATCCAGCAGCTCATTAAGCAAATATTACAGTTGCATATCTGAATATTAGCGTTATGCAGTAGTCATCACTGTATACTGCACTGTAGCCTGTGTGTAGGAATGTAACCTGAGAACTGGAGTTTCTGCTCCTCTTTGCTATTTAACCTTCTTGGGATTAACATGAGCTAACTGTAACTGTAATCCTTGACCACTGTGTCCTGGCTGTTGGTATGCAGCATCTCTGCAACTGCTTCTGTATGTTGACTTCAAAACTGTATGTGCCTGAGGTACTATACCCATCTTTTATCCTGCTGGTTTGCAGTTGTTTTTCTATTGAACTGAGAATAATGTTATGTTGTGCAGAATCAGTTACTGACCAAGAAAGAAACATTAAAAGGAAAAAGTCAAAGTATTTTTCTTTCTTTTTTTTTTTTTTTAAAAGATCTTTATTTCTTGTGCAGGTGGTTCAACAGTTAGTAAATACAAAGAGTGTCATGTAAACATTAGTCGATTACATATAACAAATGAGATTGAGTTGGGTGATCGAGGGGCTTTTTAAACATGTACAGTAAATCTTGACAAAGGATAGATATCAAAAATTAAGACGAGTGCTGCGAAGTGCCCGATAGCAACATCTGGCTCACGATTTTGTGGTTGGAGTAACCTCAAACCTCGTCTGACCACAAATATTTGGTCATTACTGGACTAAGAGTTATCTCGGCACAGAAAAGGTGCAAATAACGTAAAATGGTGACTTTAGAGAATGTTTTAGAGCTAAATATTTATTCGTTGGGGTACAAACAGTAGCACTGATTGGAAGCAGACTGAGTATAGAAACATCTGTCTACACGTCCGATCTGAACCCACTTCAGTGCTGCTATGAAACAGTAACAGCAGTCACAGGCAATGGTCGCTGATAAGAGTTACACATCTGTAGATTTACACGATGTCTCTGCTTTAAGTTCTATGTGGGTGGTAATTAGAGGCACCTATTTTTTTTTTGTGTGTGTACAAAACAATGCATACAAAAAAATCAGTCATTCAGTGCAGTACAAAACAGTGTAATTTTTTTTTTTTTAAATTGAAAAATAACAGCAAGTCTCACACATAATCAGAGCCACCAAAGCAACTCCCCTCGTGGATATCAAGTCCTGATTGGTTCGTGTCTAGAAAAGGTGCTCTGAACAAAGAAGACAGATCAGTACACTACTGGAAATGGGAGAAAATATATATATATATATATTTTGAAGTAATATGGAAGATAGCATAGCAGGATTTGGAAGTTATTCTCTGTTTAAAGTGGCAGGTCTTGGCCTGGACAGTAATTCAGTTGTCTGTTTATTTATCGTCTTCTACTCGGTGGACTTTGTTCCGTTGAAGTCGCTTTGGGTGTCGGCTTCCTCCTCTGAAGCATCCTCGACCACCCTCCGGCCTCCGCCCATACGCCGAGGTGTGCTTGCAAAGGAGGGCTCATTTCCGCGCCTGAAATGCCACAGAAATGTGCACAAGACAGGTACAAACACAAAAGCACATTTGCCATGGTGAGAGGAGCGGCTGTGGACTGGTTCTGTGCTGGTTAAGGTTTATTTGCAAACCAGTCAGGTGTTACACACTACAAGGAGGATCAATGGAATACAGAATGTACAGGTTGTGCTTCGGTTACGGGTTAAGCACGCTGGTTATCTTTGTAACTCATTTAGCTCCGTGTCGAGGAAAATGAGTTTGGTTTATGGCAGTTAAACCAAGCACTGAGAAAAATATGGCGGCCAGGGAATGGATGGATCTGATAAAAACCGAATAGTGCAGCTTGACTTAGCACTCACCGTTTTTCGGTTAAATCTGGTTGCTGATGAGCCATATTTCTCTCAGTTGGGGCTCAATGGAAGAAATGAGAGCATTAGGAGTGTGCAAGGGGAATGAAAAGTTATGGTAAACTGATTAGAAATGGTGAAGGGGTAACTCTTAGGCGCAGAGGTACCTGCTGTGTTACTCCTTGGGTTCAGGGTTGCCTCTGGAATAGAGATGAACATGAATGTTTTTGCTTGTGCTCAGTAAATCTAACTAAAATTTGACTGCTTCAAATGATTGTTTATAATTCTAGTTAGGGCTGCACGATATTGGGAAAAAAACCAACATAACGGTGTTTTTCTATGATACGAAAGAGTTCAGAAATTTGTGCAGGTGACTTGAATGCTCTATTTGGAAAGAAATAATCGTAGCGTACACTTGCATCAAAAATATATATATATTTTTTAAAAAGCTAAAAAGAGGCATTCAAAACCTGCATTTTGCAAATGCTAAAGCTATGTTCTGATTATCCATGAATCTATAAGTGTAGATCAAATTAATGCAGAACTTGCTGAATATCACAATATGGTTATCCATTATCTATACAACGCTTAATCCTCACTAGGGTCGCGGGGGGGCTGGAGCCTATCCCAGCTGACTTAGGGCGAAGGCAGGGGACACCCTGGACAGGTCGCCAGTCTATCACAGAGCTACACTTAGAGACAGACAACCAAGCACATTCACATTCACACCTATGGACAATTTAGAATCACCAACTAACCTCAACATGTTTTTGGACTGTGGGAGGAAGCTGGAGAATGTGGAGAGAACCCACGCTGCACGGGGAGAACATGCAAACTCCACGCAGAAGGATTCTGGTGCCCCCCCACCTTCTTGCTGCGAGGCAACAGTGCTACCAACTGTGCCACCCTGCAGCCCTCTTTCATTTATTTGAAAAATATTTATTTATTTTTTAGATTTATGGCTGAGCTTGGTTGTTTGCAGCAGTGTTATAATGGAAAAGTAATTCAGTTATATTTACAGCAGACCAATAAGCTGGAATTGTTAATGCTGCACTTGTACTTTATTTTATTTTGTTTATTTGATATTGAGAACTGTTCAGCAGTATTTCTGTTACATTTGTATACATTGTACGTTTAATTTGATTTAATGAGCTGCTAACAGCTTTTTGGTTTAATACAATAAACAAATGTTTTGGATTAATTATGAGCAGGTTTATTTTTTGTTAAATCTTCCCCTTAACTGAGAACCGAAGTAAACCATACCGAACCGAACCATGACTTCCGTACCGAGGTACGTACCAAACAGTGATTTTGGTGTACCGTTACACCCCTAATCATCAGCGATTATTACACGTGCACATCACGTTGTCAACACTAAAACAATATATTGTGCAGCCTTAACTGTATTGACAGTATGTTCTTTGCTACTCAAATGCAGGAGAACTGAAAAAGATTTAAACTGAGTTGCTTTAATCTGGTTTTAAAAAAAATTACATCCTGTTGTTCCATATGTATATTCTGCATGTTTTACTCATACTAAGTGCATTCCTTTCTTACTGTAATACCTGTGTGCTGTTGTAGCATCACAGGAAAAGGGGTGGACAAAAGGAGGGGAAAAAAACCCCACTCCAGCTGAGAAGAAAGAAAAACACACTGGCATTTGGTCCTACCTGAGTTTGCTCTTGAGAGAGTTGACCTCACGGCTCATGGCGTCGTTGGCCTCAGTGGCTTCATCCAGCTCACGCTGCAGCTTCCTACGGGCGGCTGTAGCGCGCTGAGACTCCTCCTCCGACTCCTCGAGCTGCCGCTTCAGCTGCTTCACGCGAGTATTCGACTTTTCCGCCTGGCAAACACAGAGAAGGATATGCTAACTTAGTGCCTGCAAATGACCCACACCATCGAAACTTAACATATTTTCTTGTTCGTTGACCTAACAAACATTAACGTGTTGAGTTTAAGCATGGATGCGTGAAGTGATTTTACCTGGTCTTTGTACTGCTCTCCCTGCTTCCTTTCGTCTTCCACCTGCAACATCAGGTCCTTAAGCTTCTTGTCTTTCTGGCGCATCGTCTTTGCGGAGGCCTGCTTATCTCTTGAAACAAGACAGATGAGAGTTTAAAGTGACTGAGCAAAACAGATGTCATTTTAAAAGAAGTTGAAAGAACAATACTCGTGCAGCTTTTAATGATACTGACATTACTAGAACATGTTCCTCCCTTTCGTTTTTGCCTGATAAAAGCTTCTGTACATTCTTTGTTATTTATCAGACATATGCTCTGTGTTTATTTGTCCCTTCACCTGTTCTCCTGCTCCAGCTGCTCCTCAAGCTGCGCCACTTTAGCCTCCAGGGCAGTGATGGAGGACTTGAACTTGGACTTGACCTGGTTCTCCATCTCCTGAAGTTTGGCCTTCAGGTCCTTGTTCTGGCGCTCCATCTGCTGCCGAGCGCTCTCGTTCTTCTGGGACGTGGTGCGCTCCGTCTGCAGCTCGTTGTTCAGCTGATCCACCTGCGGATGGAATAAACACCAAGAGAAGGATGAGGCCAGTTGCTTTACCACTTTATAGCCCTTTTCACTCTCTAAAAGTAATGGCATTCTGTCATTTAGACATTACAATCTGTAAGATAGAAATATTCCGACAGCTGTGATGGAGTTCAGGAGTCAACCTAAGGACGGTTGCGATGTCACAATTGATTTAACTGAACTGCAGTTTAGTGATATTCTGTCTGTGACAGCTTATTTATCGAAAATTAAGTAAAAATATTTTATATAAATTAATTAATGACATTTCTGACGTCACATTAAGGCACCCAGTTCTCTTACTTTGGAGATACCTGTTTGGCTTGTGCTGTTGTTTGATGCCGATATTTAATAAACTGAGGAAAAACTCCTGCAAAACAACTGGGAGCAGCAAACTGAACTCCAGCTCCTGTTAACATTTTATCGAATAACATTCACTCGTGTATCATGAATCTGAGCTGTTATTGTCTTCTTTAATTGCAGTAAGGTTTTATTTTTAAGGACATTTTGGCCTAATAGATTTGAAATTGAAGGGCAAAGTGAACAAGAAAAGTGTGTTGTGACTTTGTCTTTAAAGCACTCTGATGTTTTGGGGAAAAAGCTTTCCTTAAATCACTTCACCAAACTCAAAGTATGTGTGTGTGCCTTTCTGTTAATGTGACCGTTTGCAGTTTATGCATGTGTAGTGCTGAAAGCAATACAGAAAAGTTAATAGATCTGACCTAGTAAGACTGCAATTACAGCTTTTATGGAGAAGTGACTAGGGTGCTCATTCAGACATGAAGTCGGCATGTTCAACTCCTGTGAGATTAATGGAAAAAGTGCATGTTTGAATGGAGCTTGAGTTCTCCAGTCTTGTCACCTGCTGTGTGCTCTTCCTCAGCCTGTCATTGAGGATCTCCATGTTACTCTGCTCCTCCTCCAGCTCTTCCTCTAGCTGGCTGATCTTAGCTTCCAGGCGACGCTTCTCATCTGCCAAGGCTGACCTGAGCACATGGACCACAGCAGCAAATGTTACCTTCATTCATTTGTCTCTTCACTTCATAGACAAAGCAACAACGTCAACTCTACACCCACTTTCCAGAGGAGTTGCTCGCCAGCTCATCGGACAGTTCGTCTCTTTCAGCCTCTGCCTGTTTCCGTGCCCTCTCGGCTGCAGCCAGTTCCTAAAGAACAGATTTGAGATGCAGCTACTATTTCAAGCCTGTGCTCTCAGAAAAGTTGTTGCCTTGTTAGGAATCAACAGCGTTACCTCCTGTAGCTGCATGAGCTCAGCCTCCAGACTCTTGGCCTTCTTCTCGCTCTCCTTCGCGGTGGTCAGCACCTCCTCTCGGGCAGCACGGGCATCTTCCAGCTCCCTCTGGTAGTCTTTCATCTGGCCCTGTAGGGAGGAACACGAACAGAATTACAAAAAGAGAGAAATGACGTCAGAAAGTGATTTATTAACGAAGTATATTTGCAGGACTTGAGCCAGAGCTGTAACCTGATGGTTGATGCAGTGCTGTGTTTAAGTGCTTTCAGATATTATCACATTGTATTTATAAGGCTTCAGAATGTCCTCCTTGAGGTCATAACTAACGGCAGAAACTTGGGAGACATTCTTTGGAAAGATAAATGATAATAAAAGTACCAAAATACTGCATTATTGTCTCATAGTGTATGCATTTTGCCACATGTTGTATAAAACAAACATACATTTATATTGAATAGGGATGTCCTAATACGATCTCAAAGAACAACATTGGGGTGATCAAAGCATTTTTAACTGATCTGCATTGGCACAAACCAAAGCCAGATCCTTTGTTTACTCCTACTGTTACTAAAGACAGGATGCATATTTTGAAAAACATTTTCATGACTGCCAATGCTGCCAATTACTCAAAGAGCACAAATTGAGCACAGTGGCTGTTTGTCCTGTGCTGACGGTGCTGTTTTGGTCAACAGACACATGATTTAGGCCACTGGGATAAACACCATTGTCCAAATCAATACTAGCTTTGTTAAACAAATGAGCGCTGGCCAGAGGACATTAGGCGTCACACTAGTCTCTGTCACGGTGGCCTGTTGCTAACTAAACCCCCACAGTGCTCTCTGCTTGCCAACATTAACTGCTTGTGGTCGACGTTTGTGGGTTGCTAGAATTAAACAATAAGAGGCTCCACCTGGTTGAATAGTTACATACTACAGCTAATCTCCACAGTGTTGTATGGTAGTGATTTGACTTGTAATGTGGAAAAAAAACACTTTCTTATTGAAATAGTAACCTCCAACAAGGCACGTGTAAAATTAGAAGTAAAAGTATTTAATTTAATTCTTCTGCCTGAACCTGCTCCATCCCCTCACTCTCACCTGGAGCTTTCGGAGCTGCTTGATGGCCTCCTCTCGTCCCTTATTGGCCGTCTCAATCTGTCCTTCTAGATCTTTCATGTCTGTCTCCAGCTTCTTCTTGGCTGCTGCTGCCAGGGCTCTCTGTTTACGTTCATCTTCCAACTCTGTCTCCAACTCACGAACCTGCAGGCAGCATGCAACATTGCCAAGATTTCTGACAAAGCTGTTGGTACATTCCCTGACAGTGAATCAGATCATATTCCACTGGAAGGAGAATAAAGGTTGTTATGGCTCTTTACCTGCTTCACAAGCTGCCTCTTCTTCTCCTCACCCATCTCATCTCGTCCCTGGAGGTCCCTCTCGAACTGGGCCTTCAGGGCCTGCATGTTGACCTCCAGACGCAGCTTGGCGTCCTCAGCCGCCTGCAGCTCGTCCTCCAGCTCCTCCAGCTGGGTCTTCATCTCCTCCACCTGGGCCTCCAGGCCTCGTTTGGACTTCTCCAGCTCGTGGACCTTTTATCAGTATATTTCAAATTAACTGGAATGTTGTACTTATTGTGCACAGATTATAACAGTGAAACCATGTACTGTTAGTCTAAAAATCTAATCCATGCAAACAATGTCAGGAACTGACTAATGCTCCAGCACTCACATTTTTTCCCACGTCATCCTTGGAGCTGATCAGGTCCTCCATCTCAATCTTCAGGGCCTTGTTGGCTCTCTCCAGCTCCTCTTTGGAATCCTGGGCCTCTTCCAGAGCCCTTGCCAGGGACAGAGCTTTGGTTTCCTTCTCTCTGGCCTCGGCTTCAGCTCGATCTCTCTCATCTGCATATTTACTGGAGATGCTCTTCTCCTCAGCCAGCATCTGGATTTCAGAGAGGACAAACAAGCATGGATTAATGGATTTGCTTGACTGGTCAGGAAATTCTTTAAAAGACTAGACTAAATCCTTCTTTGTGAACTGTAACTAATAAGTCTTTTTTTCTGATTTAGCTGACCTGGTCAAACTTCTTCTGCTTCTTTTCCAGGTTTGACACAATCTGCCTCTGGCTGTCCAGGTCCATCAGTGTGTCCTCCAGCTCCTGCTGCAGACGGTTTTTGGTCTTCTCCAGCTTGTCGTATGCTGAGGCCTTCTCCTCATACTGAGTGTTGGCTGCCTCCAAATCTCTCTGTAGACGTTTCTTCCCTTCCTCCAACAGCTCGATGTTTCCTGACATTTCATCCAGCTTCTTCTTTGCATCTGACAGCTGTAAACAGACCAAAATTATGTGAAATCAGTGATCAAAAAAGAAAACCTTGATTTTGTCTCTTTAGCTGTTCAAGATTGAGAGTAATACCCTTGCACCTCACTGAAAACTTCACTGAAATCTCAGTGTCTTAAAGATTTTGTTTCATCATAATTTATTTCTTTATTTTTCTACTTCTGTCTTGCCAGTCTGAGCTCTGACCTGGATGTTGAGTGTGGAGACGTGTCTCTCCACGTTCCTCTTGGCCTCCATCTCCTCTTCAAGCTGCTCCTGCAAGCTGTTCTTGTCATCTTCTGCTTGTCGCAGCTTTGTGGAGAACTGCAGTTTCTGACGTGTCTCCTCAGCCAGCAGCTCCTGCAGTGGCACAACGGCGCAACGGTCAATGCTTTAGTTCTTACTTCTGATCAGGAGGGATTATTTAATGTATTTTACCTTCACAGGAGCAGTTACATGTGGGCTGTGCTGGGATTTTAATATGTTTCAGCCTTAAAAGTCCACTTACCTGTGTGTCTTGGAGTTGGGAGGAAAGACCGGAGATATCTTTGCTCAGTTTGATGTTCTTGCCCTCTGCTTCGTTCAGTAGGTTTGTTACACTCTCCAGTTCAACCTGCACAGACACAAAAATTAGGTTTCTGGGGCTTCATTTTCATCATTTTTATGATGTCTTTTAAAAAAAAAAAAATATAATTGCTACTTTTTTTTCAGGCTGATTATTGATGCAACAACTGAAAGTGATTTACGGTGATCTTGGAGCAGCGCTCGCCCAGCTCAGCCTTCTGCTTCTCACTGTCAGTGAAGCGTGACTGCAGATCTGCCACTTGACCCTCCAACTTCTTCCTCTTGTGCTCTCCGTCCTGTTTGGCCTGAGACAGTGAGCGGACCTCCATGGTTAATTCGGATGTTTCCTTCTCCAGAGCTTGTTTAGCTTTCTCCAGATTGGACTTCACCTTAGTGGAGGAGAGAGAGAAAGATGTTAATATGCTGTAAATTACACAGAAAAAAGGAGAGTTCATGTACCTGAAACTTAATGACAGTTGCTTATCTAGAAAAGCATATGAAATAATGCAGGCCTACTCGTTTTGACTGCTCCAGCTGCTCAGTGAGCTCCTCCACAGCCTGGGTGTGTTTCTGTCTCATCTCCTGTATCTGAGCCTCATGGGTTCGGTTCTCATCATCCATGGCTCGCTTCAGCAGGGTCACCTCCTGCTCACGTTTTGCTCTGCAGAAAGATAAATGAAGCGTGCAGATCTGTTTTATATTTTACAAATATAACTACTACATCTGTCTGACACCTGTATTGTACATGATCATTTTATGTGCAGCAAATGATTTGTTTCTTGTTAGTCATCTTTTTCTTCTCTAAAATGAATCGTACCTTTCTCAAGATAGCATCATCAGCTAAAATTTTCATATGCATTAACTTTATAAACTCACTTTGAACAAATGTTTGTATATTTAGGAGTAGCATGACTGACCTTAGCTCTTGCTGTGTGGCAGTCGTGTCCAAAGTGTCTTCTAGCTCCGACTTGAGGGCCTCCAGCTCCTCTCCAAGGTCCCGTTTGATTTTCTCCGCCTTGTTCCTGGCTGCCCGCTCAGAGTCGAGGTCCTCCTGCAGGTCAGAGATGTGTCCCTCGAGCTCTCTGATCTTCTTCAGAGCATTGTTTTTCTGGGCTGTTTCATCTTCTAACCTGAAAGAAGAAACATGTATTGAAGACAGAAATACATTTAGCTGATGTCCCTTTGCCTTATACTCCATGCAATTTAAAAGCAATCAAAAGTCAAAGTAATCAAAGTAACTTTACCTGGCTAAAGCGTTCTGTAACTCTTCCTCCTTCTTAGCAAGCTGAGCTTTGAGATCAGCAATCTGAGCCTGCAGGTCAGCTATCTGCTCTTGTAGGTCATTCGACTCAGCCTCCAACTTGCGCTTGGCCTTATCCAGCTCCTGGCGACCCTTTTCTTCTTTCTTCAAACGGACTAGTACAAGAGAGAGATAACACTTACAAAACTATGCTTCTGCAAAATACACGTAAAGTCCTGCTTGTGACATCAGTAATTTGTTTTTGATGATATGCACAAAAGATGATCACCTTCCAACTCAGAGATCATGGACTCGTGTTTGTTTTTGAGCTTGGTGAGGTTCTTAGATTTCTCCTCTTCCTCGGCCAGGTTTGCACTGAAGTCTGCGATTCGTTCTTCCATCAGCTTCCGCTCCTACAAAATATTATGAAACAGGTCATCTATTTGGAGAAAAATGTAAAACTCCAAAATAAAGGCCTCTTTGATGAATGTTGTTTTCTGATACTTGCCTTCAGCAGCTTGTTGTTCTGGTCCTCCATTACCAGAATGTCGTCCTCCAACTTTTTGATCTTTCCATCGCAGGTAACCTTCTCCAGCTGCAGTTTCTGGCGAGCGTCCTCCTCCTCTTCCAGATGTTCCTCTAATTCCTACAAAAAAAATTGACCCAGTGCTCAGTTTTTGCAAAAAATGTGATCTCTTTTTTAGAGTATAGATAGCTGAGTGGTGAAAATAATAGCACCGAACAACAGGGATTAGGAAATAA